CTGGTGCTGGGCCGACTGGCAGGGCTGAGCGTCCTCCTGTCCCTTTGCCACTGATGTTTACTAAGCACTCTGAGCCAATGAGACCCCCAGCAGCAGAAAGGGCACAAGGCAGTGACAGGGCAGCAGGGCCAGATCTTTCTCATGCACCCTGACCTCTTGCAGACTTTCCTCGTGAGGCGTACTCATTTCAAAACTGCTATATGCAGGGCTCCCCTACGTATCACTCAGGCTGAGAGATCCTTCCTCACTGCGCTCAAGATGGCCCCAGCCAGACACCAGTTACCCAGCTGAAAGTCATAAACCCTCCCAGAAGTCTCCCAACACTAGTGCTGACCAGAGGTGGGGCTCTCAGGCTAGGAGTTTCACACACTATGACCGGCCGCTGGGGGACACTGCAGGACCCCTTTCCTCCTCCTCTCCCATGCTAGAAGCCAGCCCTAGGCAGCTGCAGTTACTCCCTGTGACTCAGCAGCAGGCTGATTCAACACAGCTGCCCACAGGAAGCCAGTGGCCAATACATCTGTTTACCTTTCCCTATCACCCAGACACAAGCCCCTTTTCCCAGGTCAAACCCCAGGCCAATGCATCTCCAGTTTGTGACAGTCAAATTGCTATTTCCGTTGCCACTTTAGATCAGCCAAAGTGGTGACTGCTGCAGTGTGCGGCTGTCCCTACAAGGCCCACCCAAGGGATGCCCAAAGCCCAGCCTTCTCCAGGGCCACAGCCCAGAGCAACCTCACCAGCCTGAGTCCAGCAGAGGACCTCCCACCCAATGTCTTGTTCTAATTAGAAGGGGAAGTTAGCCATAGAAAATCAACTTATAATTACAAAATTCTCTTAACTCACCTTAAAGTTCCTATTGACATCTATTGCTTTTAAACCTATTTCAAAACTCTGATACTAAAATGAATGGCACTCTAAGAAAGTTTGGGAGCCTCATGCTGAGAACCATTTCTGTGCAGTGAAGATGTTTCCAGAAGCTACTTACCTACATGTGAATGTGCCATTTTCTTTCCTTTTGTAGAGAAAATCCCCTTCACTTTTTGGAACAGTAATGACAGCTTCTAGTACAGCCATTTACAGTTTCATATGAGGAAAATTGAAAAGAATAACTATAAAATTGTTAAAATATCCAACAATGGATAATGATGGCCAGAAGATTTAACACATAAAGTAATTCTCAATGTAAAGCTATTCAGCCCTTCCAGGTTGAATGCCCTGGAACCCATATCCTGACCTTCCACATCATCTTCAAAAAGCAGTTTCTCTGTTCCCCGTGATTCTCCTACAAGGTAACTCTCTAGTCCTCCATTTAGCACATATTAAATCCTCCAAAGATTAAGTACCATATGATTATTTTAGTTTTACAAAAAAAGTTGAATGGCATTTTATTTTCATGGCCTACAACCAGGTACATTAGTAGGGCAGTGATAGGAAAAACAAATTAGACCAAAAAAAAAAAAAAAATCCTCTACAAATCCAAGGCAGGAAAAGTGGTGGCAGAGTGACTCATTCTCCTGTCCCTCCCATCAAGTCAAATCGGGAGGCTGTAGTGAATGCTTGTTCTTTGAATGTGTGGCAATTGTTCCTGGAACTCTTTAAAACATGGCTATAGGCTATTTAGCACAGTATACATTAAAGATACAGTTATGTAAACCAGCACAGTCATTTTATAGTGCTTCGTCCATTTATCATGCTTTGGTTTGCTAATTTTTTCACGTACCTTTTTATATCAGTCTGTTGCTTTTGTACACATCTCTCATATTGGGGTTTGACAGGTAAACACAACCTGCTATTTCAGTAGAAAAAATTGTTACAAATATTAAACCCAATAAATAGTATAAAGGTAAATATCAACGTGTATCTCATTTGTTACTGAGAATGTTACAAAAATTGGGGGAAGGCCTTCATGTAGAAAAATGTATTCTCATTCATTTATAGATGCTTGAGAAAATTTTGGAACAGTACAAAAAGAAACTACGAAGAATGGTTGGCAGGGTGGGGGTGCGTAAGGGGTGTGTGCTACCAGCCACAAGAACGTGTGAGACTGTGGCACAGGAAGGAAGATGCTCACACACAGCATGGGGGGTGAGGCTTGATATGGTTTTTGAACAATGTGAATGTACAACCTAACTTTTTAAAACTCATCTATTTACATAAGAAATCCAAAAAGCAAGCAAGCAGTGGTACAGACATTAATATCAGAGTTATTTGGTATGAAAAATTTAAGTGTATGAAAAATGTAAGTGTAAACAGGTGCCTATTTACAAGGTTAAGAAATGCAGCATCGCCGGGCGCGGTGGCTCAAAAGCCTGTAATCCCAGCACTTTGGGAGGCCGAGACGGGTGGATCAGTAAGTCAGGAGATTGAGACCATCCTGGCTAACACAGTGAAACCCCGTTTCTACTAAAAAAATACAAAAAAAACTAGCCGGGCGAGGTGGCGGGCGCCTGTAGTCCCAGCTACTCGGGAGGCTGAGGCGGGAGGCTGAGGCAGGAGAATGGTGTAAACCCGGGAAGCGGAGCTTGCATCCGGCCACTGCACTCCAGCGTGGGCAACAGAGCAAGACTCCGTCTCAAAAAAAAAAAAAAAAAAAGAAATGCAGCATCCAACTTAATAAAACTACAGAAAATACAAAGAAAAATACATGTACAAAATGCTAATAAGAATAAAGGAATTTTTTTTTTTTTTAAAGACAGAGTCTCACTCTGTCACCCAGGCTGGAGTACAATGGTGTGATATCAGCTCACTGCAACTTGTGCCTCCTGGGTTCAAGCGATTCTCCTGCCTCAGCTTCCTGAGTAGCTGGGATTACAGGCACGGGCCACCATGCCTGGCTAATTTTTGTATTTATAGTAGAGACAGGGTTTCACCATGTTGGCCAGGCTGGTCTCGAACTCCTAACCTCATGATCCACCCACTTTGGCCTCCCAAAATGCTGGGATTACAGGTGTGAGCCACCACACTCAGCCGAAGGAGTCTTTATTCTTACCATTCTCCACCTATGATCACACAAGCTGGCACAAATTAGTACATATAAAACTTCAACCATAATTGATATATATATAACAGGATACTCAAAATATACAGAATATATCATCTTTCCAAGTGCCTTGGAGGAAAAAAAATTCTCAAAAAATAATTCCATATGCTAGAAATGTAATGATTCATTAGTTTTCAAAGATGAATTGCAGATTAGAAAACAGCAAGTGAAAACATTTGTAATAGCACACATGATGGTAGGGATTCTCAAACTCTTGGAATTAGAATAACTCACTTGTGATGCTTGTTCAAACCCATTAAAATCCATTGCTCATGCCCTTTCCCTGGAGATTCCAATTCAAAGAGCTGAGATGGGGCTATGAAATGTGTACTTAGCAAGTTCTCCCAGTTGTATTTTTCATCAAAAGTTTAGAAAACTTCTATGATAATGTAACTAAAGCACTGCTGGGGGAAAATTCATAGCCCTAAATCTATATATTAATTTGTAAAGGATGAAAAAGGGAATTTAATATCTACTATAAGTTATAAAAGGAACAATAAAATAAACCCAGGGGAAAAAATAGAAGAAATGAATTTGTAGACCTAAGGATAAGTTCATTAGAAAAAAGTAGAGCTAATAAAACTATGAGTTGCTCATTGGGAAAATTCAAACAGTGTATATAGACCACCTTCTAATCTCATTAAGCAAAAAGAAGAAAAAGAGCAAACATACATAGCATATGAGCATGAAGAATCCTGCAGTCCACCATAACCCAGGGAGATGATCTCAAGAATATAAGGATGGTTCGATATTGATCAGGAGGGTGGGCAGTTTTGCCAAGCTTGATGTCAACCAGAAGGGACGCACACTTCTTCCATAGAGCAGGCTAGTGAATATAGTCTACAACAGACCAAAAAATGAAACTAAGGTGAATGTCAACATTGACCACCAACCAAAGGAGGAACCTCTGGAGAGTTGTAAATGTGCTCCAATTTTTAAAGAGGTTTTAAAAATCTAATCTGGCAAATCTAAAGGAATATGCATTTGTACAAAAGGTAAAACACTCATGAAATAGTTAAGGAATGGACTATATATGGTCCACAAATCCAATTCCTAAATTGAATATTCTGTGAGCTCTTTGGAATAAAGCTGATTGCTAACGTCAATAAAACTGTGTGCTTTTTCTCTATGCCCCTCAGCACAAGCTTTGGAGCTTTAATTACCTTTTATTAGTCTTTCCCTACAGAAAAAAAAAAAAAAATCCACTCCTCTACAGACCTTTGTAGCTGGTTTTCCCATGGGGCCAAGTTAACCAGTGTGTCTCTGGAGACATAAAATTCATGTGGTCTGTGTGCTCACTTTTTTGCTGATTTTGAAGTATGTTTGCTGAGTTGAAGCTCTACCACATTTGTGTCTTTAAGCTCCCAACCAGCAGACATGGTTGCGGTTAATTCCTACTTGTCTAGGAACTGCATAATCAGCATCAGAAAACCTTCTGCTCTGAAGACAAAATTTAATACACTACCCTTTGGCTACGTCGTCAGTCCATGAGCAGGCTAAGTCTTTCATTGTCAGGGCCTGAGTATATGCAAACACATTAGACCTGTCTGTGGTCTAAGAAGGCTGACCCTCAAGCAGACACCTCTAATAGAACAGAGCTGGAGTCATGAAATATGTATTTTGAGCTTTGATGTGAGGCCAACAGCTGAAGAGAAAACGCCTGGGTTTTCGAAGGAGCACCGCTCCAGGAGGGAGCAGTGGCCTGACAACCAGCCTGGAAGCCCTAAGTTGGGAGGGCAGGATTTAATTGAAAACACATGAGGGAAAGAATTCCAGCAAGGCCTAGCGTGGTCGGAGGACAGCTTGCGGGGCAGGAGCCAGGAGTGGGAGACCCACGTGTGTTTGTGTAGCTCCGGTGCATCAATATTTTGTTTCATGTCTAACTCCAAAAGGCACAAGTGCAAGAAAACATCCCCATTCTACAGACGCCCAGTGATGGCAACACATACGCGCGTGCTTAGGTAAAAAGATGTATTTCAAAGTGGGATCAGTAAATCTTCAATAAATAAATAAACGTACAGCCCTCCAAGATGCAGAATTTCCCATCCCTAGTTTAACAGTCACGGTTCACTTTGTTTTACGTGCATTTCGCAGATGAGTGGTGCTCTCATCAGCAGACACAAGACTTCTTTGGCCTCTGCTTTTTTTTCCTTTCTTCTAATAAGGAGATTACACTCTGGATAAACAAAACAGACAGGAGAATGTAATGCAGGGTTTTGGTGGTTTGGGTCTAGAAGGACTACAAAATTAGCCTTGATAGGCAGAAAGAGCATCCCAACCTGTCTGTCAAAAACTCTGGCCATTTCTAGGACACCTTTGCCGAACTGAAACAGGAAACAACAAAAATTTTACATGCTTATAAATGTTCTTTCTCCCCCTCCGAGGAAAATCTTTACATAAAGATGGACTCATTTACCTCATTTTTTACACTTGCATCTGCCCCTTTGTCAAGAAGTAACTGAACTAACTCTTCATGATTATTTAACACAGCCACCTAGAAAACAAAACCCAGGGTGATGTGCATGAGCATCTCCCTCCAGGGCACGCACAGCAGGGAGCACGAGCCTGGCGCGTGCAGGGTCCCAGCAGCCCCCCTGCAACCCACAAAGGGCCACTGTGGCTTTGCGTGGCCTGCAGGCACAGCACTTCCTCTGCAGCTGCGGTGGTAGCAACTCCAGGGAAAATGAAAACGGACCCTCCCTCTCTCCACACGAAAACCAGGACAGAAAGCAGGTTGTTCTTTGTTTCACCAGATCTGTTTTGATCCCACAGCGGTCCTGGGGACAGGGGCTCTTTACTCCTTCAATAGTCATAAAAAGGCAACGAAGTATTCTAGTGATAGCCTCATGCCCTTATGAACAAGCCGACAGGGAACACACACACAGTCAAACCCAAGGGCTGGTGCAGGGCTGAACTCACAAGAATTGTCTAATTACAGAAAAAGCTCTGACCTTAATTCCACGCAGAAAACTGCCTATTTTCGGGAGGAGGACCTACCATAAGGGGCGTCTTTCCATTTCTGTCCTTCACATTCACGTTGGCTCCAGCATCAATCAGAAGAGAGGCCACCCTCTGATTTCCCGACACCGCGGAGACTCTCATGAGTGGGGTCCACCCTGAACCAGTGTCCACGACGTCTACCTGTTGCGCCAGAGAAACAGCTGTGTTAAGCCCAATTTCTTTTTCTTAAACTGATTCAAACTTATAAAAGGAATATTTGCTTGCCCCAATGCCCGGACTTAGATAGTAGTCTTTCTATATTTGGTTCACTGCACTGTTCTAATTTAAGTCACATTTCTGTGCTGCAAAGACATGTGTTAGAATCGCATTAGAGGGTGCTGAGAGGCCCCAGGGTCTCCCTGTCAGCTTCTTCACCTACATCCTTTAAAGTGGAAAAAAGGTGGGCTAGAAAAATTAACTGAACTACTTTCCCCTTGGCTCCTGGTGAGTTCTTATTTTCTCTTGCCTAACTTTCCTCACCTAGCATTCAATTTTTCTTTCTTTTATGTATCGTTGTAAGCAGCTTTACATCCTTTCTGGAATGAGACAGTAATAATATATACACACACACTCTTATGCTCACCAATACTTATCAATTTTAGGCAGGAGACCTACAGGTAAAATACAGAACAACCAGATTCATTACACAAACTCTGTCTGAAAAGTCTGACTAATGGCTTCTCCAAAACAGTGTGCCCGGTAATCGGATGGCTATTTCCTGATCATCTTCTCTACACTGAAATCTCTCAATTTAGTGTTTTAAAATAAATATTTCAGATTAAGAAAATGTAAATGTTGTCTCTTCCAATTCCAGTGAAGACCTCACCAATCCACGAAGAGTGGTGAAGTAAAGACAGATACATGTGTGTGCTCAGATACACACGTGCACGTGTACATGCACACATGCATACCATGTGCACACATGCATACCATGTGCACACATGCATGTAAGCATACATGAGCACATGCACGCACAATCTGTTACAGAAAAATTACTCAAAGATGAAGCACAGCTTTAGTAAAACTTCAGAATGGAACAACAAACAAGGAATTTCCAGGAGATCTTGGGGGCACTTCAGGGTATTTCTACGTATAAGATTATCCACTGTAACACGATTTGGATTTGCAGCTCTTCACGCAAAGAACTAACCTGTGGGCAACACACTCCGTTATATTTAAAGAATAATAAAATAAGCACCTCATATTACATGATGCTTTATACAAGCTTTCAACCCTCTTTACACACACTTTCTCTTTTGGTCCTAAAGGTTAATCAGAGGTAGGTATTTTTATTCTTGGTTTACAAACGATCAAACTAAATCTCAGAGAAGTGCCTTTCCTGAGATCACATGGATCATTAAATGCAGAAATGAATACATAAGTCGCCAATAAGTCACTCTTAGTATATGATCATTACATTTGGGAAGAAGGTGGTGATTGGGTCCCAAGTCCTTCCTATGGGCTTCAGAAGCATCAGGTGAGCCATCTGCCAGAACATGGAGAGACTCATGTTGACATCATCCATCCGCCACCAGGCCAGTCATGTGGAAATCTATAGTGAACACATCCATGCTTACTGTTCTGTCCTCTGCAAAGTAGTTCCAGTGCTTCAAAGATGGAATTTCTCCCAAATAAGTATATTGATATCTGAAGCCCTGAGAGCCAACATTTCCAAAACTCCAGTATTTAAATGTTGATAGAGATTTTCCCTATTGTGAATGCTTCATTCATTCATTCATTCGAGATGGAGTCTCACTCTGTCGCCCAGGCTAGAGTGCAGTGGCACGATCTTGGCTCACTGCAACCTCCACCTCCTGGGTTCAAGCAATTCTCCTGCCTCAGCCTGCCTAATAAGCTGGGATTACAGACGCCCACCACCACACATGGCTAATTTTTGCATTTTCAGTAGAGACAGCATTTCACCATGTTCACCAAGTTGGTCTCGAACTCCTGACCTCAAGTGATCCACCCACCTTGGCCTCCCAAAGTGCCGGGATTACAGGCATAAGCCACTGCGCCCGGCCTGGATGCCTGACTTCTTACAGCAAAGTACAACCTTCTTTTTCAACCACAGACTTTCACTAGGTGCAAAACCTGCCCAGAATTCATCATAAACCAATCAAGGAGTGTGTGGCTGTCACTACCACACATGGCACGTGGGCCCAGCTCTACTATGGAAGCCCATAGGCTCAGCCTCCTGCCTCTGTGCCTGTCTCTAAAACATAAGGAAAATAAGAAATGTAATAAATTTTTAATGACTGAAATTTTTCCTATAAGTGGGCACTTTTCTTAATTCTCCAAAAGCAGCAGCAGGAACCAGGTAGATCCCATAACTGAAGTCTCACTTTCCCTCAATTACCCTTCAGAAACAAACTAGAACAAATCTACTGACATCTTCCAGGAGACATGACTTTTCTCAATTTGAGTTGATTTTCCAGGTCATCGACTTAATTTCTCAGCACTACATACCATCTGGCAGTCACAGATAGCACAGAACTTTGTCCATCATTCTTTAGTTCTATGCTTTGAAATTTTTAGCTGATTCCTTCAAAGTCTTGAACTAAAGTTTTCAAAGTTATCAGCAATTTCCATAATTGATCTAATTCTAATTACCCATCTTCAAATATCTATAGATGTCCAAACAACACTGCTTCTATTTGCTAAATCAAATTTGCAGTTTCTGATAACATGAAATCAAAAGTAGACCAACTTGCCTGTTTCCAGGTAAACACACAACTGAAATGTTCTATTCTTGATAGGGTCAGTTTGCTCTTTGGAAATTTTTTGTAATGACTAATCTTTAAAACAAACCAAGAATAAAAATTACCTAATTTTAGAAGCAACAAGAAGCACAATGGCTATAAGAGCTCTTAATATCTTTGTATCACCACCATTTGAGATAATATCTGGTACATGCTTAGTAAAGCTTTAGTGACAGACTGAATGAAGAAAGAAATCAGCAAATGAACAAAAGAACAAAGTAGAAACATCAGGCCGGGTGCAGTGTCTCACACTTGTAATCCCAGCACTTTGAGAGGCCAAGGCAGGTGGATCACTTGAGGTCAGGAGTTCAAGACCAGCCTGGCCAACATCGTGAAACCCCATCTCTACTAAAAATACAAAAATTAGCTGGGCGTGGTGGCATGTGCCTGTAATCCCAGCTACTAAGGAAACTGAGGCAGGAGAATCACTCGAACCTGGGAGGCAGAGGTCTCAATGAACCGAGATCGCACTACTGCACTCCAGCGTGGGCAACAGAGTGAGACTCCATCTCAAAAGAAAAAGAAAAAGAAAAAGAAAAATAGAAAAAGAAGAAAAAGAAAAAGAAAGTAGAAGCATTAGGTCCAGCTCTGGATTCAGACATGTTTCTTTTCCCTACACAAGACAAACCCCCACGACAATCGGAAAGCTCACTCTCATGTCCATTCTAAGGTTTCAGGGGCTTTCTTGCTAAGTCAGAAAACTTTCTCCAGCATTTTGTAGGTTGACTAATCAAAGGCCCTGCTTCTGCCAGACCCCGTGGAGCAGCATTTCAGATTCTTGACAATATGTGCATGGTTAACAAGGCAGGTCCCGTACCTCACAGCCGTCCTTTATCATCCACTCAATCACACTGCAGTGGCCTCCATCTGCAGCCCAGTGCAGAGCCGTACAGCCGCCCAGGTCTCTAGCCTGCCAAGAAGCGCCGTGTCTTCGGAGATATTTCACAACATCTAGGTGTCCCGCATAGCACGCCAGCATTAGACTGCAACATACGGAAGAAGCAGCATTTGACGATAAGCACAGTCACCGAACTCAGCTCCACTTTTTACCCTACCTGGCTTAAACCATGAAATCCTAACTTGAGTGGAAAAGCCATGGGAATTGTTCATATAAAATGTACACATATCCATCAACTGATGTACAAAACGTGGTATATATCCATACAATGGAATATTAGAAATGAAGTGCTACAAACATGAAAGAACCTTGAAACACTGCACTGAAAGATGCCAGACATGAAAGGCCACATATTGTCTGATTCCATTTATATGCAATGTCCAGAATAGGCAACCTACAAGACAGGAATAGCAGGTGAGTGGCCGCCTGAGGCTGAAGGGAAGGAGTAATGGGGAATGATTGCTAAAGAGTGCAGGGCTAATATTTCAGGGGGGCAGGGGATGAATATTCTGGAAGTAGATAGCAGTGATGGTTCCACAACTTTGCAAATACATTTTTAAATGTTGATTTGTATGTTTTAAAAGGTGAATTTTATGGTATGTAAATTATATCTCAATAAAAAACAAATAGTGACTGTAACTGAGGATAAGGTATTAGATTTTAAAACATCCGAAGTCCATGATATTCAAAAAAAGAGAAAAGGAAAAAATACTCATTTGACACTATTAGAGATAACTATCAAACCAATTTCCTACTCTAAAAGTTGGTATTTAAGAAAAAATTAAATATTTTCTTTTTTTTTTTTTAGGATAAAATGTAGTTTATGCCCAGTTGGTGGGGGGAAGAAGCCGTTTTTCACAGAAGACTGCCAACTAGTAAATATAAAAGAAACCATAGAGCTAGAAAAGCCCTTATTTGCAATTCCCTATTAAATAATTGATTCAGGCAATAAAATTATTGGCACTGAAATTATTGGGTAAAAGTTAATGGGGAGGCCAGGCGCAGTGGTTCACCCCTGTAATCCTTTCTCTTTTGGAGGCTGATGTGGGTGGATTGCCTGAGCTCAGGAGCTTGAGACCAGCCTGAGCAACATAGCGAAACTTCATCTCTACTAAAAACACAAAAATTAGCCAGGCATGGTGGCAGCTGCCTGTAATCCCAGCTGCTCGGGAGGCTGAGGCAGGAGAATCGCTTGAACCCGGGGAGGCGGAGGTTGCAGTGAGCCGAGATCATGCCACTGCTCGCCAGCCTGGGAGAGAGAGCAAGACTCTGTCTCAAGAAAACAAAAAACAAACAAACAAACAAAAATTAATAGCGAATGAAATATTCACACGGCAATGAATTATTACCCCCAAAATTATTTTCTAAGTGCAATGGGAAAACTCTATCTTTACAAAGAAGAAAATTTGCTGTCATCACTCTAAAAAAATAATGAAACCTAGAATCACTACCTGTGAGACAACCTGCATCACATGCCTCCTGATGGATGTAACATGAAGTCACAACACTAGCTCTGAAGTATTCTTGCTAAAGTGTTAACCTGAGTCTAATTAAGCCTTTAATTTTTTTAATTCTTAAAAAATTTCACCTTGTTGCCCAGGTTGGTTTCAAACTCATGGCCTCAGGTGATCTTCCTGCCTCAGCCTCCCAAAGTGCTGGGATTACAGGCAGGAGCCACAGCACCCAACCTAATCAAGCCCTTAAGCCTGTCTTTAACTTTATTGTTAATAAAGGGATAGATGAACAAGTGAAATGCCTGCCCCACAACTGGGAGACAAGCAAATCCAGAACACAGGACATTCTAGAAGATAACCGGTCCGCTCTCCTCAAAGAGTCACTGCTATGAGAAAAAAAAAAGTTTTAAAGAGAGAGGACTGGTCTAGAATAAGAGACTATAGAGAGAAAGGCCAGATGAAATGTGGGAACCCTGAATGGATCATGGTCTTGCCCCACACCACCTCCCGAACCCCACACGCCACCTCCCGAACCCCACACGCCACCTCCCGAACCCACACGCCACCTCCCAAACCCCCACACACCACCTCCCGAACCCCACACACCACCTCCCAAACCCCACACCACCTCCCGAACCCCACACCCCACCTCCCGAACCCCACACCCCACCTCCCAAACCCCACACCCCACCTCCCAAATAAAGCTGTGGAAGACCTTTGGGGAACAGGTTGGGAGACCTGCACGGGTGGTTGTGTATCAATGATATTAAGGAATTAGTTGAAGTGTCTTAGAAGTGATATGATGTGATTACTATGCAGGTTAATGACCGTGTTTTTCGGAAACATTTTCTGATGTATTGAGGGGTGAAGGATTATGCTATCTACTAATTTCAAAATAGTTCAGCAAGAGTGGAAAAAAAGGAGAGACAAATACGGCCAAATATCAACTGCCAAGCCTAGGTGGGAGGTATACAGGTGTTTGTTGTACTATTCTTTCACTTTTTCTAAATGTGTAAATGTTTCAAGATAGAATTAGAAAATAAAACAGAAGATCTTCCCAATAGGGAAACGTGCAAAGCCTCTGAGTGGTAACTGGAATATCCAGCCCCCAAGGCAAGGCCCAGATGAGCTGAGATGGGGCCAGACCTCTGCAGCCCCACATCCTCACACAGTCCTTCATTTCTTGGAGACCCCCAGAAGACAGTCAGCGTGGTGCAGTACCTGCCTGCCGGGTTTAGGGTGTTCATACTCCTTTCCCAAGCACTCGAGGGTCTTTAGAATGACCTTTGCTAAGGGAAGAAAACTTCACTTCTTAAATTACATTCTCAAATAGAACCCTAATTATCTGCATGACTTTTCTTTTTCGAGACAGAGTCTCACTCTATCACCCAGGTTGGAGTACAATGGCACAATCTTGGCTCACTGCAACCTCTGCCTCCTGGGTTCTAGTGATTCTCCTGACTCAGCCTCTCAAGTAGCTGGGACTACAGGCGCGCACCACCATGCCCGGCTAATTTTTTGTATTTTTAGTAGAGACAGGGTTTCACCAGCCTGGCCAGGCTGGTCTCAAACTCCTGACCTCGAGATCCGCCTGCCTCGGCCTCCCAAAGTGCTGGGATTACAGGCGTGAGCCACCACGCCCGGCCTATCTGCATGATTTTAAAATAATGCTTCTTTTCTGATTATAAAGTAAGGCATGGTACCTAGAAAAAAAATCCCATATTAGAGTCACCCATAACCTCACCTCACAGAGAACAAACTCTTAAGATTCTGTTGAATTTGCTCTAGGAGGTAAGGAGGATTGCTTAATAACCAGCCCCGGGGGCTCCAGGTTGCCCAGCAATGAGCTCATTGAGATGAGGCGCTCTTCCTTCCCAGGGATAGGCACAGCCCTGAACTTACCACTTCCCACTGGCAGAAAGCCACCAAGGCCCTCCAAGTGCCAAGCCGCTGGAGTCAGCCACCACCCCAACTGCCACCTGAACTCAAACTGCCTGGCACCCGCGGGGTCTGTTATCTGCTGCTTTATAAGAATGCCCCTCTCTGGTTCACAGGGTAGGAGAAAGGAAGAGCGGCCAGGACATAGCATGCTCCTGAGCACAGCCCTGCAGGGCATCCCACTGTGCCCCAGGGCAAGCCCACCAGGAATGGAGGACCCGCTCCACTCGCCTGCTGCTGAGTTCCCTGCTCAGAGTCACACTCCCAGCTCTACACAAAATCCCATCTTTTCTCGCTTTGTATGATTTTCTGTTCTCACTGCCTTTTAAAAAGTATTATTTCAGTTTCTTATTATTTCATATACTTCCCTGTTTACATAAGCACTGAAAACAGTGTTCACATACTAAATATTCCATCATATGAATATATCATAACTTCAATCAATCCTCTATTGTTGGACATTTGTTTCACATTTTTCACAATTTAAAATAAGGAAACAACAAACACCCTTACTAATCATACTTGCATTTCTGATTGTTTCCTAAAACAGGATCACTGTGTTCATGGATGTGGCTTACTTTGGAAGCACATTTCCGAATTGCTTTCCAGAAAGATTATACCAATTTACATTTCTATCAACTATATTTGAAAGTGCAGGTTGTTTCACTGCATCTTTACCAACATGATTATTTTTTTAATAACCAATTTGATAAGTAGAAAACTTTTTATTACTAGTAATGCTGAACATTTTTATATGAATCGCTCATATTGATTCTGCTATAAATTGTCGTCTTGTGTAAACTGCTTTTTTCTACTGTGTGGAGGCTTTTTTGGAGTACATGTACGGGCGTGTGTGTGTTCCACACATTAAAGATGCCAGTAATTTGTCTATAATACATTTGTAAATATTTCCCTGGATTGTCCTTAACATTGTAATTAAGTTTTTAAAAATGTATAATACACTCTTAATCTTTTTCTTAATGATTCCTTTCAATGCACTTGTTCCTTTCACATTACAAGATAAAACAATTATGCATCTGTGTTTTCTGGTCCTTTTTTATGGGTTTTTTACATTTAATTCTCAATTCATCTGGAATTTATTTTGGTATATGCTATAAGACCAGGATCTAACTTGACTTTTTCCTTCAAACATCCTGTTTTTCCAGTACATTCCTCATTGGTTTATGTTACTTCCACCATCATATACCAGGTTCTTAGGTAGATAGGGATCTACTTGAGGATTTCTATGCCATTCTACTTTTTTTCTGATTTGTTTCAGTATCATATTACTTTAATTACTATAACGTTATGAGGCATTTCAATAACTGTCAAGCCAAGTCCTTCCACATTCTTCCTTGACAAAGTTTTAGTAGATATTATCTATTTGTTCTTCTCGATAAATTACAATCATTTTGACAGGTTCCCAAGAATAATTCCATTTGAGGCTGCACTGAACCTCAATGCAGTATTTGAGAAGAATTAAAAATTGTAAAATACTCAATCTTGCCATTCTGGCATATGACATGTCTTTATTTCTTAAATTTTTATATCTCTCAGTAAGGTTTTTAGGTTTATTTTTTCCTTCAGATTTCCTACCTTTCTTGTTTTCATTCTATTTTATTTCCCCATTATATTTATTAACCAGTAATTGCAGGGATTTAAGAAAGTATTTTCTTTGCCTTGTTTGTCCACTTTACTGAGCCTCCTTATTAAGTCCAAGTTTTTCAAGTTGATTCTGTTGGGTTCTACAGGAAATAAATCACACCTCTTATCTCAGTTCATATCTTCCTAAGTGGATCAGCCCTCAAAATACTGTCTAATCATGAAATAACAAAATATATCTGAATTTACCATATGCCAGGAACTGTTTTATGCATTTTTCATATTAGCTCATTAAATGCCTACAACCTCTAAGTACTTCCATTATTCCAATTTTACAGACACAAAACTGAGATGCAGAGAGGTTAGGCAGCCTGTCCAGGCCACACCACATCCTCAGAGGGATGCAGATTTCACACCACGCTCCCCACCACTCTCCTGGGCTTCACTACTAGTTTCGGAAAGGAATTTGCCAATACTAAGAATGACACTGGCTGATTGAGACGATTTAAAAAATAAAAGAAACCTTTGTATGCTGCAATCAAAGGAATCCTTCATTTAACAGACACTTCCTGCCTCCCATGTGCCAGACACTGTTCAAAGGCTGAAAGTACCCTTCACTTTAAAAAATAAGATACTTTTTTCAAGACCATCCTGGCTAACATGGTGAAACCCCGTCTCTACTAAAAATACAAAAAATTAGCCGGGCGAGGTGGCGGGCGCCTGTAGTCCCAGCTACTTGGGAGGCTGAGGCAGGAGAATGACGTGAACCCGGGAGGCGGAGCTTGCAGTGGGCTGAGATTGCGCCACTGCACCCCCAGCCTGGGCGACACAGCAAGACTCCGTCTCAAAAAATAATAAAAATTTTTAAAATTTAAAAAACTACTTTTTAAACTTTTTAATATACATGCCAAGTTATACCCAATTTTTGTTTTGCGTCTACACAAATAAAGGTTTTCACCTTTAATCTACTGCTGGGAAGTGTTATGTTAAAAAATTTCCTAATACCCTCCGGAATGGCCCTCCTAGGTGGGATGGAAGAGATCTATAAATACCTACACACAAACAAACACACAAATAGCTTTTTTTCTATTAGATTTTAGCAATAAGGTTATCCTCTGGAGCATTCCAGTTTGCTCTCTGCTCCGGAAAAGCCCAAGGTTATTATCAGTGCCTAGAAAATCTGAACAGGTTCACTAGTAGAATAGTCAAGCCACGGAGCCTACATTGGAGGTAATTTTTAAATGAATTTTCTAGTTTCTTGCATGGACATTGGTTATTTCGAATTTTCTGCTTCTTGGGTTGACTTGGTGGTTTAAATTTTCTCAGAACAAAGTATCCATTTCAATGACATTATCTACTGTTATAGACACAAACTTCTTTTCATGTTTACATTTTCTCTATAACCATTGTTATTGTCCTCTTTCAAACTTCTTTTTTTCTTCTTTCTTAGATTTACAAAAGATCGGTGTATCTTATTAGATAGCTTTCTGTTTAAGAGGCAACTCTTACATTTCTCAATAATCTTTCTACTTTTTAATCAAAGTCTACTTTTAATTCTTTCATTTTCCCTACTCTCCTTATAATTTTTTTCTTTTCCCTTTTCAGATTGCTATTATTCTTTTCAAACCTGGAGTTGATAGCTTAGTCTCAACTTAATCTATGAGTTATTTGGAAAAACACTTTTTAAATTTATAAGTGATATTTAAGATATTGTTATTTAAAATCTATTGCTGCATTGTGTTCGGAGAATGTAAATGTAGAAGATAATCCTTCTGATTTGAGAAGTTAGTTGGGGTTTTCTTTACGGCCTCCCCCAAAAGGTCAGTGTTTGGCAGCTGTCCGTCGATGCCCTCTGCAGTGCCCAAGCCCCGGTTCCATGTGTGTTGTGACCGCAGCCCCTGAAGCCAGGGCCTGGCATTTTGCTCAGTGTTTCACCCATGCACCAAGCACAGCGCCTGGCAAGTAGTAATCAGTCAATAAACACGGGTTAGCTGAAATCAATTGATTAACTCTAATGACTAGATGAGCGAGTGTGTTTAGGTCTTTCAGGAACACTCATCTGCCCTTGATGTGTGTCACATTCTTCCCCTGAGCTTTTCCTGTAGCGTTCTCAGCCCTCCAAGGGAACATGTGCCTCTCACCTCAGGAAAGTGCTCCGGGCGTCTCTCTGGTGGTGATTTCTGTCTGCTTCTTTAGAAACAACGAAGATTTCTTAGCAAAGAGTGAGGCTGAAATGCAGCAGGGGCCTGAGAGAGACACGGGGTGCCGGGGGCAGGCGCTTGTACCCACGCGCCGCGCGGCTAGCCAGAGCTGCTCTGTAGCTGCCGTTTCCCATGCACTGCGTGTCCACTGGGCACAGCCACCACGCCAGAGAAGTCACCATACATTACAACAGATGCCCACCCCCCACAAGCACCCTGGTGAGTAAAAGCACAAGACCATGTGAGCAAGCCAGCTTTTGTGATCACCATCTTTCCTCGGGGACCCAACTCACCTCTCAGGACTGTCAAAAGAAACTCGAGAAAACGTTTGGGTGAAATCACAGTGCCTCTGGGCACAAGCCCAGCAACACAATTCTGAGAACATCAGCACATTTTCAGTCATATCCCACCTCCTACCTGTCCTTGCCACTTCCATTCTTCAGATTCACGTCTGTGCCATTAGAAACTAGGATTTTCACAAGCCTAAAGGAAACAAACTGAACTGTAGCTAGATAAGTCACTTTGATCACTCAGCACCCACAATAGTCCAGTCGAAAACGAATAACACAGCATCCAAGATGCCTCTTTGCAACAGTTTCTTCTGCACCTTCAGAAGCCAGCTGGTTTTCAAACCAGGCACCATCCATTAAACCAGAAAACCACCTCTTCATTCCAAAAACATAGGCTTTTACCTTTGACACAAGTTATTCACTAAAATCAAATGAAAGCACGTGAAACAAATTGGGCTACCAAAATAATTCACTGTCCTTTGAATGGCCATTTTTTAATATATTCTTAAATGGCAGCATTTAATGAAAAAGCATTTATGTTTTTTTCAAATGGCATTTAATTAAGATATAAATGAAAATAAGGTATTTCTATTAATACTTATCTCTGCGTGGAATAGATAATGAGGGTATATCTGTGAAAAGTATATCTTAGCAACCTAGCAGAAAGTTTTCCAGAATATCCCTCTATTTTTTAAAAAGAAAAATTCAAATTCCAATAACCAGTTTTCCAAGAACTTAAAAATACATTGCATGTAATTAAATGGCTACCTCTCTTCTTCAACATATGATTTACATTCTCTCCTGCATATTGTATAACTTTATGATTACAACAGCGGGATTTCCAAGTCATCGCATGGTACGGACGGTTTGGGAGACAGAAAAGAAACTGGGTTCCTCCATGGCCCTTTTTCCTCCCATCCTTATCCTGACCAGAGCCTCCGAATAAAACAAAAAGTTAAATACCCAAGAGAGATTTAAAAAAAAAAGAAGAAGAGCCATACCTGGTGTATCCTTTCTGGGCAGCAACCATCAGAGCGGTAAAGCCAAACTTATTGGGAACATCAACCTTAACATGGCTTGGGAAAGACAGAGAAAAGAGATGAGCATGCTCAGTACAGCTACTGCAGAGTCAAAGCCAGTGGTTCTCGTGGGGCTCAGGTGGCTAAAATGACTCATTTTACTGAAAATTCCAATTTCTTTGGGGCCATTAAATCTTTTCTTGTCTTAGACTGCTAAGAATCTTCTAAACTATATGCCTAATATTCTACAAGATTCAAATGCATAATAAAAGAGAAAACTGCTGTAATTTCACTTAAGATATGCATGCTTTGGCTCAAAGCCATCGTGCCATCAGATATAGCACTCTTAGATGAACACAGCTCTTTTAAGATAGCTGAGGACAGTATCTTCACTGCTGACTCTCAGCTCCACCGAACATGAGTTTGTATTGGTGGAGACTCGAGCTTTCTCCTGGCCTCCCATCTCACCTACTGGGTAGAGAACAGTCCTGTTCAGGGAAGAAAGCGGAGGTCTTCACGCACATTCTCCAGCACAGCAGCTTTGGCTTTTTGTGGGAACCTTCTCTGAAGAGCTCCAAATTACAGAGCCATAATTCACAAATGACTTGTCTGCTAGGGCACTCAAAACTATTGATTCAAAAAGAACCTAGGTAACATCATCTACTTTTCATGTAGGAGGCAGCTTCAAACGTCTCATCTGCAGCAGCAATATTCACCATTTTCCCTCTAGTGTTATATCAACCTTTTAAATTAGAAAGCAGTTGATTTGGCGATTCCCTCGTTTCATCAGAAATTAGACATGGGCATCTGGGGGTGAAATTTGTTTAAATGCTGTGGCTTATAAGCAAGATACAGAAATCATTTCTGGGAAGAAAATATGATACCCAGCCGTGTAATTTCCTTTTACAATTTCTATTACACGATTACAAAATATAACATTTACATGGGGCTTCACGAGCATCTTTATTAACTATGGTTTATTAACTCACACCAGTCACCTGAGATCCATTTTGGAGGCAGTTTCAAAGGCATGGGAATTTTTAGGAAAACAAAATGAAGCTACTGCATGTATTTCTATGCACTTTATAGGCAAGGGGAAAAAAAAAAAAAAAAAGACTGACAGAGTTCTCTCACCCTCCTTGAAGTATTCGGACAAGCAAATCTTCATCATTCACATTAACAGCCCGATGCAAGTGCTCGCTACTTATGGGCTCTCCTGGAGAAACGAGATGGAAGGCAATCATCCAGAACATCAAGAAAGGAGACTCCTTCCCACCATCTTCCTCCTGTGGCCTTCGGGGGATCATCTCCAGGAAGGCGCTTGGCTATTTCTGTAAGCATATCTTACATTTCCTACTCAACTGCTTCTTTTACCGAAAAAGACCTTGTTTTCACATGTTAACACAGTATCCAAGATGGCTCTTTGCAACCGTTTCTTCTGCACCTTCAGAAGCCAGCTGGTTTTCACATATTAAGAGAACATTTTGACTGACCTAAAGGCTTGGGACATTTTCAAGTTATAAAGTATTGCTTTGTGAATGTTATTTTGATATTTGGAAATAATCCTTTCAGATTTCATAAGACTTAATAAATGTCTCCTACAAGCAAGGAAAACCTCAGCAACTGTCACAACATGCTAGTTTCATTGGCCAAAGAGATGTTAAACTATTTTGGGAAAAAAAAAAAAAAAAAGGACAAAGTGCTTTAACATTTGAAATTAAAATTTTCAATTCTTCCCAGGAATGTGACATACATGTTGGCCTTGTCTTCTCTGAGCATGTGGGGTCAGGGGGCTTCTACCCACAGGGAGGTGGGGAGCACCAGGAGAAAACTCAATTAGGGGAGAGAGCTTGCCAAGCGGAGCAGACCCAGGAGGAGTCCAGAAGCCTAAAAGAACAATGGGCCACAGTCGGGGAGGGCATCCTCTGTACAGGGGACATCAGCTCCACAGCAAAGTCAATAGGCAGGCGGGCAGCATAAGCAGAGGGAGAGTAAAGGGCTAGGAGAAGCCGCCCATCTTTCTAGGAGTTTCTGGTTTCATTTGTTCCTTATTCTACACCTTCTAATTTTAAAAAGGATCACGATTAGGCTTAAATGAAATAATACCAGTGAAGCACTTGGAATAGCACCTGGCACATCGTAAGTACCCAGCACACACCTGTTGTTGGGGTGACAGTAGCAGCAGCTGCCATTGTGAGTGGATACAGCCCCACTGCCTCTTAAATTCTCCAAATGTACGCCCAGCCCCTCACCCACGCGTGGCAAGCGTTTGAGTTTATAACCCCTGGTCTAAATAACCTCAAAGGTCTCATTCATTCATTCAACAAACCTAAGTAATGTACATACCAAGTCCTGTGCTAGGCTCTGGAGGGTTAGCATGAAAAGAGCTAACCATTAGCTCCCATGCTCCCTTCCACTGTAGTGCCCGCTTTCAGCCCGTTATTATTCTAAACCTGAAAGAAAATATCCACTCCTGCCCCATCCTCCCTCACTGTACCCTACACTGCCTCCTGGGGCTCACCCACCCTCCCCTCTTATAGTCCGGCCCAGAGAGATCAGCTTGCCTCCCTCTTCCTGCTCCTTATGGTAGAAAATCTCTCTGGGATGCCAGTTCCTGGGCCTAGGAGACACTTTTTCTTTGGGTTTCCTTGGAGGGTTTCAGTGGTGCAAAGTGAGTTGGGCAATGTACAAACTGGGAAAACAGTGAGACAGGAGAATAAAGAGATTTCTCCCAGAATGATCTTTAGCCGATACCTTTTCCTTTCTTTCGTAAAAATAAATTTATGCCAAGTTTAAATTATTTTGAAATAGCAATTTTGTCTGCTAGAGCTTGCCAATCTCTTACAGTTTTTTTTTTAGCTACATTATACTTCCTTTTCATCATTACATACAATTTTTAGATCAAAAGTGTCAAATAAAAGTCGCACGATAACCTGTCAAAGGCCAAGGCTCACAGCTGTCCCTGGCCTTCTAAGGCAGGTCATGCTGTGCCCAGTGGTTTCACTAGTAGGGCTTAGGAAGGAGGCAGGGTTTTATACCCCAGAGGACATCTGGCAATGTCTGGTGACATCTTTGGGTGCCACAACTAAGGAGATGGTGCACTGGCATCTAGAGGATAGAGGCCAAGGAAGCTGCGAAGCATCCCTGGTGTGCAGGACAGCCCCCCACAACAAGGAACCATCCAGTCCCCAAAGGTCAGTAGTACCAAAGTTGAGAACCCTGGGCTAGATTAATAAGGACTTAAAATCATCATGTGTTTCATCTACACTTTAGATGGATGAACTAAACCCATAGACTGTTTCCCTTTCTGTTGCTAACCAGAAGAGAGTGGTATGTTTATAAAAGTCTTTGTTATCCCATTAATAGGCCCCATGTTCTCCTATCTCAAACTTCAGCTGCCACTAAAACATAAAAACAAATCATTTGGATAAATCACTTATAACAACATACAAAGCTCATTCTATTTCTACTAAGTTGTACAATGTGTAGTATCCTAAATCAAATCCTATGAATTAAGCTGTACGTAGGCTTTTTACACAGTGCTTTTAAAATTCTCCTCCAAACCATCAGACTGGGAGTCAGAAAGGCTAAGTTTTAAAATTCTCCTCCAAACCATCAGACCGGGAGTCAGAAAGGCTAAGTTGTCCAAGGTCGCCCAGTTAGGAGAGGGCAGCATCAGAGCCAAGGCCAAGTCTTCCATGAGGCCCACTCGTTCCCTTTAGTATTTAGTAAATGCTGTAGTACCGACCAATTCACTATATGCTTCCACTCTTACTAAATTCTGCAGACAGATGAACATCTTAAGTAAATGTGATCCTCCCCCAGTGTTAAAAGAAAGGGGATGCCTAAAAATCTTCCAAAAAGTGCTAACTGCTTGAGATGTTAGGGAAAGTTCTAAGGGCGACCACCTCTCTGCAGCGACCCCATCTACTCCACAGCCTCCATCTTACCGAACAGCAAGGCTCTCCCGGGGGGACACTTCCCAGCGCATCCTAACCAGGAAGCTCTGCAGCATGCAAAGGTTGGAAAATGAAACAAGTTCACTGCATGCTTATAAGCTAGAGGACCGCCTGTAGCAAAGACCAGGGCTTTCAGTATCAGGATATAATAAATGTAATGCCAATTCCAGCTTCCACAGGAGGTAATGAGCACTTCACAGCTTACTCTGAGAACAAAGGGACACCTCACAGAAGAGAGGGGAATCGACATAATTGTTGCTCAGTCCTTGCTTGCTGAGCAGTGACCACCGTTGCAGGGTGTGAGAGCTCTTTCTCAGCGTTAACTCCTCAACTGTCCTCACGCTACTACCAAGAGTGAAAGGAGGGACTGAGGATTACACTGGAACCTGTGTGAAGCAACAGAGGCACAAAAACGTCTCCATTTACATGAATTTGACAAAGAAACAGAAAAAGAAAAGACCCTTGTTTGCAGTGCACAGCAATTCTTCCTACTCCCACTATAGGCAGGAGTCCTGAGGAACAGAGAGGAAATTCCAGGGTGAACAGAATGTTCCATTCCTCCCACCCCTGAATCCTTCAAGACTTTGTGGGCCTGGCCCAAGGAAATGCCATCAATAAGTGCAACTGAATATTTTTAAAAGGCCGGCTGTTGCTCTGCAGGTTTGTTTTTCTAGTGTTTACCCTGAGTGTTGCAATTGCAAATATCAAACTGATTCTGCCTATGGTGAGGATGTAAGCCCATGCGTTCATCTGAGCAGGATGGAACTCACCAGTCAGGCCCAGGTGAGCGGGGACACTGAGGAGAAGGGCAGAGCAGGGCAGAGTGGTCTTGAGGAAGCCATCGTTCATATTCTTTAAGAGGGTTATTTAGCTGCAGATGTACCTGCAGATATTATAATATGGTGATAACACCTTTCTTGGTGGAATTTTAAGTCTTTATTAAAAGCAGTGAATAAATCACGAGCTCATTGGAGAAGATATTTGCCAATTAACAAGTAGCAGCTGTTTTTCTTTCTTTATAAGGGCCCAACTGATTAAAATTGTATGCCTCATTTAAGCAAGAATCTCGTGTACTTTACCTGGGGGAAAAAAAAAGGCTGTGCATTCTTTATTCAAACAAAGTGCATGCCTCTGTGATTCATTAAAACACTCTCAAACTGAATGCAAATTATCACCACACAGAAGCATTTGCACTTGCTCTGTACCATGTGCACATTTTCAGTTCTTTGTTTAGCATGATCTGCCTCCTTAGGAGAATCTGCTTTGGATATTATAAATATATAACAATAGCATAAGGGAACTGCAGCCAGCCCGCAGAGCCAAGAGCCTTCCCCAGCTAGGAGGAGGAGGACACCTGATCCTCACCAACCAGTCCAGCCCCCTGGGGCTGAGAAGGCTTCCTGGCTGCAGGCAGTGATGCTATTATCTGGCAGTGAAATGGCCAAGATCACTCCCCCAAAACACACACACACACACACACCCACACACCCCCACACCCACCCACCCCTGGTCACCACTACACACTCATCTTTGCAGGAGGCCTCATCTAATTAGTCATAGAAACCATGGGGCTATAAGGACAGACGCCTTGCACCAGCTCTCCATGGCTGCCTCTGGAGCCAGCTCAGTGGGAAGAAGGCACATCTGGCCCACAGGCACAGCCTGATATGGTTTGGCTGTGTCCCCACCCAAATCTCATCTTGAATTGTAGCTCCCATAATTCCCATGTGTCATGGGAGGGACCTGGTGGGACGTAATTGAATCATGGGGGCGGGTCTTTCCCATGCGGTTCTCATGATAGTGAATTAAGTCTCATAAGATCTGATGGTATTATAAAGGGAAATTCCCCTGCACATGCTCTCTCTTGCCTGCCACCATGAAGACATGCCTTTCCTTCTTCTTTACCTTCCACCATGGTTATGAGGCCTTCCCAGCCATGTGGAACTGAGAGTCCATTAAACCTCTTCCTTTATAAATTACCCAGCCTCAAGTAAGTCTTTATTAGCAGCATAAGAACACACTAATAAACAGCCCTTCCTAAAAGAGCTCCAAATGGTATGCCAACCCCATGTAAACTCAAGCCCTGGCTTTGATGTGCTATTAAGAGGATGCTAGAGACCACCTGAAGCCCACCATGGAAGGCTGCAGAATCAACCATATTCACCCTCACGTGGAAGGTTCGGGTGAACTCTCACTGGCCAGTGGAAAACTAATACATCTCCCAACAAACGTAAATGAAACCTGAGAACATCAGTGTTTCTTTTCATACTCTTAATTCTGCCACTGGTCCTTAATTTTCACCCACCCATCCATCCATCCATCCATCAAGGATCTTCTTTTTTTAGAGAAAGGGTCCTGCTCTATTGTCCAGGCTGGAGAGTTCAGTGGTGCCACCATAGCTTACTGCAGCCTTGAACTCCTGGGCTCAAGCGATCCTCCTGCCCGGGCCACAGGCACACACGCTGACTTATTTATTAAGGATCTCCCACAAGCTAAAGATGACCAACCCATCACCCACCCTTTTGGAGCCCGCAATGTAGGTGGGAGACCAAAAGGTAGACAAACACTTAAGAGAAGATGCAAGAAGTGTTCACAGAGGTGGGGAATACTGCTCTGTACCTGGGGAGGAGGGCGAGCACGTGACAGAGGAGGGGAAAGCTACACGAGGCATCGCCCCCACGTGCTTGCCCATGGAGCAGACTCAGTGAGCACAGCAATGAAGTGAGTGCTCCAGGGAGGAGGGCAGAGGTGGGGGTCTGCGGAGTGGCAGAAGGCCTGTGGGCGGTGGGGACAGCAAGAGGATGGGAGGGAACAGAAAGGTAGCGTGGGACGGCGTCCTGGCTGGGGTTGCCCAGAGAGTCTCTGTTCATACGCCTGGCTCCCTTTGCCACCTCTTCCTCCTACCCCTTCTCCTGCACGCCCTCTGCCTTCCTTCAGCACACAGAGCTCACGTTCTGCCGTCTTTGTTTTCTCGTAAGAACCCGAGAGGTAAGTACGTTCCATATGACAGCAAATGTTCTCAGCACTGCCGGATGAAGGAACAAGCCCTCTTCCTTAACCTGAATCCCCAGAGTTGACCATTTCACATCAGAAGTCTCCTCTGAAATTGTGTTTTTCACAGTTAAACTTCCAGTTTGCTAAACTCAGATCCTGTCCCCTAATGCCAGGTCTGCAACTGAAGGTACCACAGCTCACAAGCTGAGTTAACTTTAGTCTACACAAAAATTGTCATGAAGAAATGCCTAAAGGACACAGCTGAAAGCCACGGAAAGCACATACCTCCAAGCCAAATGCTACCTGGACTAAAACGGAAAAACAGCTTTACTCGCAAAGGAAGGCTTCCCTCGTGCAGCTGAAAAATTACTCACCTGTGTTTTCAGTGGGTGGGCCGTGGAGAACACTTGTGACCATCCTAATTTTTACATTGTTCTTGCTCAGAGATGGTCCTGGACACAGCATCTTTAAAATGCTTTAAAATACTAACCTCAGAAACAACCTTAAAACTCAGCTGGCTGGAGGGCTCAGAGGTCTCCATGTGGGGCTCTCCCTTGCGGGGTTCTCCATGGATGCGGCAGCACTGTTCGTTCTCCCTCACTCACCATGACCCCAGGAATCGGGTTTGTGTGGCGAGTTAAGACGCACACCCTGGGGTTGTCTAAAATGGACAAGACGCTGGATGGAGCTGCTTGCCCGAGGACGCTCAGGCAGGCGGCCTGCTTTGCTGCATGGGGACGCTTAGGCTTACCCAGCCCACATCCCTGTGGCCCATTTCCTAAGAAAGGTGACTCTACCCTTTTGTGCTGCCTGGCTACTGACAGGACAGTTTTGGCACAAAAATAGATCTCCCAGTTTGTGAAAGCAGAATTAGACTTCCCTGACATTACAAGTTATGGCAAAGGCCCAACTAGTAAATACTGTTGCAGTGTTTAAAAATGGTATCATTGCCGGGCGCGGTGGCTCAAGCCTGTAATCCCAGCACTTTGGGAGGCCGAGACGGGCGGATTACGAGGTCAGGAGATCAAGACTATCCTGACTAACACGGTGAAATCCCGTCTCTACTAAAAAAAATACAAAAAACTAGCCGGGCGTGGTGGCAGGCGCCTGTAGTCCCAGCTACTTGGGAGGCTGAGGCAGGAGAATGGCGTGAACCCGGGAGGTGGAGCTTGCAGTGAGCTGAGATCCGGCCACTGCACTCCAGCCTGGGCGACAGAGCGAGACTCCGTCTCAATAAATAAATAAATAAATAAATAAATAAATAAAAATGGTATCATTCCTGCTTCTGATAAGGCCGAACAAGAGGCACAATATTTTCATCTCTAAATTGCTTGTCATCTCCATTGATCTAGAGACAGGTGAGCGTGGAGAGGCTGAATACTCACTGGTCGTAGACACTGAGACGAGTGGGCTGTACTCACACTCCCCAGAGGGGCTGGTGACCTTCAGGCGAAATCTGTACAGCGTCCTTGGTTCCAGACCTTCAACAACATGCTTCGTTGCATATCCCCTAGACAGGAGGAGACAAACATGCTGACAACACCAGGTAGCTTAATCTGCACTCTCTGATAAGACACGAGAAGAGCAGGTGGAAGTGATGTTCCTTCTATTTCCAGGACACAGCTGATGGATCGTGCTTTGCTGAGCTCCTAGAGAATGAAGGACAAGTCCCACATGGCACCTCTATCCCTACCCAGCAGGTGCCCTCTGTCCCATAGGGCCTAGTCTGGGGCCTGACACATAGCCAGCATGCCGTTTTGTACTTTGGAGAAATAATCACGTTAACTGTGACATTTGTCCTCAAGTGACAAAGTTTTATGTTTGAAAGATAAGACAGGCAGTCAAATTGTATATATGTAATTTTCAAGTGGGGGCCATCTAGTGGTGGGGGCTGTGAGGCTAATACATGGCTGCATAACTATTGCAGGCAAAATACCACTGCAGGGAAAGGACTGAAGAAGTCACATGCAAGATTGCTCGCAGCCCATGAGCAACTTCCAGTAGAGCTGGGAGCTCAGGCAGCACACAGAGGACAATGCTAACATCATGCCCCATGGTCAAGTTCATCTTAGGAATGTTTGTGGGAAATGGATGCTGAGCACTTCTGGGATAGAAATCTGATGAAAGACTCACGATGGAAATCCACACACCTCCAGAGGGAAGCAGGACTGAGTCTAAACATTTGCAGCCTGCAAAATGAGCACCAAGAAATGCAGGTAGGTAGTTTGCCTGGCTGCTCAGAAGATGCTGGGACCCAGCGCAAGTGCTAAGATAGGACCCCACCCTCTGCTTGTGAGGCAGGTCCCAGGAGCCTGGCTTTGAGTGGCATGCATTCTACAATATCAGGTCTCCAAAAGTTGACAGAGCTGTACATATTTCCCAATATTACCCAAAACCTCTATGTTACCCATTTCTCCGTTCTGCCAACATTCTTCTTATCTGACTAAACTCCATGTATCCCTTTTCAAATCCTATCTCAAAATTTTTCTTTTCTTCTACTCAAAGGCTTGGTTTTCGAGAGGGGTGTGTGTGTCATTTCCAGCTCTTACTTCTTTCCTGCTTCAACACTTAATCCAGTTCTTCTTCTCCTCCCTTGGATCATTCTCCATAGCTCCTTAGATGCCAAGGTTACCATTGTTTCCCTCCAGATTTTTTTTCCTGTCTCTAGTTTTTACTTTTATTCTCAATAGATCCTCCAAAGATACCACAACCATTCTTTGGGCTTCACAACTAATTTTTCAAGGATGTTTATGTGCAACTAAATATTTATACATCGATTCCATTCCACACAACTCAACAAGTGTATCTAGTGTATCTAGCGACCATTATTTGCAAGGTGTTGGGACAGGCTGGGATGCAGCCCTGCACCAGCTCAGGGCCAAAATGAACCTGTCAACACTAAGTTGAACCCAACTTCCTACTGATGGGGTGGCAAGAAGAGGGGCAGTCAAGGACTGTGAAGAAGGGACAGCTGAGCAAGGGTGAAATGACAGTGCTGGAGTTAGTATCACTAATAAACACCTGAAAACCTGCCTTCAGATCTGGGCCACGTGGGTGAGCTAACACCTCACCTAATCATCAAACAGCCTTGCCCACTCACTCCCAGCCCCCACCGGATTCTTTCCCCCGAAGGATGAGGCGCGGCACTAAGTGTGTGGCTGAAGAACAGACCCAACACTTGCCCTAGAGGGAGGACTATTCCCAAAGGAGAACCCAGAAGGTCTTCTCAGTTCCTTCCGCCAAACTCATCCATCACACAAGTAATTCCCCCACTGAGGAACAGGCATGGGGCAGGAACAGGTACTTGAGGAACAGGTACAGGGCAGAGGGAGTGAGGTGCCAGGAGAGTGTCCTCTGGTAGAGGTATCTCTGATGTCAAGTGAGAAATGGCAGAAAGGACTTCCATGACAGACAGGAGATGTCTTCCAGGCGGTCTGAGAAAGGACTTCCCAGGAGGGTGGAAAGAACACACTACGCCTGGGAAAGTCAGGTTCCAGGTGCTCTCACGGTGGCGAGTCAGGGTGCAGACGAGTCTGGCACGTCCAGGAAACAGGTGCCTCCGTGAAATCTGGAGACAACTCTAATATCGTAACTCTAACTCTAACATCTAACAGAATCTGCTTTTGAAAACTGAAAAACACTTACAAAGACCTTCTTCACTTGATGTTTCTGTCCTTTGTTAAAATGTGAAATTTCAAGGTAAAATCAAATACTGAACGTTCATTGATCCTGTTTTTGCATCACAAAGTTACTTCAGGCACCAAATCTAAATGACTTCTTGGGTGTAGCACCAGTAGAACCAAGAAAAAGACTAAGCACATTAAAGCACCTCTGACCACGTACATGTCTCTGCCTCCCTGCTCTGTGCGCTGGTGGATTCAGCCTCCTAACCGACATCATCTTTGCTAGAAACACATTTCTCTTCACCTAAAAGAAGCCAAATGAGCTGGAAGTCAAGCTGGCCTCCACAGTCACTACCATCCCTGCAGGAACATGCTCCTCTCCCCACAGAGTTAAGTCGAGTTCCTCTCCCCTTGAACAGGATGGAAAGTGGTGGAAGTGAATCAGTACAGCTCTGGCTCTGGGTCTTAAGATTCCCGGAAGTTTCTGCTTCTCCTTGCTTGGAAGCTGGCCACCACGTAAAGAAGTTCAACTTTCCTGTTGGAGAAAGAGGCCACCTAGTAAGACAGAGTCAGTGGAAGATCCAGACCACAAAGGAGATGAAGAAGCCCAGCCAGCCTCCTATTGTCCTGGCCGTCCCAGCTGATGCATCTCACATGGGTGAAGCCATTTGGTTCTTCCAGCCCCAAGAGAGCTGCAACAGTCAAGACCACATGGCGCAGAAACAAGCCATCAACACTCTAGCCAAATTACAGATCATCAGCAAACACATGACTGTTTCTGCGGCAAGCCGCTCAGTCTGGGGCTGGTTCGTTATGCAGCAGGTAACTGAGATAGTATGTATCAACGAAAAAGAAACTGTAGGAAAGACAATGAAGAAACAAAGCCAACGGCATTACAAAAACTTTTCCATCAAGAAACCGAGAAGTAGATAAGTGTTAAAAATCGATATAAATACATTTACCATAAAAGTAAAAGCTCTAAAACCAAGATAAATATTCAGAAAAACCGCCAGAGCTAAAAAGTAATAATTTTTTTAAAACTGAAATGTATCAGCCTGGCACAAAGGAGTCTTATGAGTAGGTAGATTTTGATGTTAAATGAAAATACGTCCATGAATACTTAGATATTTGGGTCACAGAAACTGAGCCCTCAACAATGTGTGGCATCTGAAAAGACCTTTGCCTGTAATCCCAGCACTTTGGGAGGCTGAGGCGGGTGGATCATGAGGTCAGGAGATTGAGACCATCCTGGCTAACATGGTAAAACCCCGTCTCTACTAAAAATACAAAAAAACTAGCCGGGCGAGGTGGCAGGCGCCTGTAGTCCCAGCTACTCGGGAGGCTGAGGCAGGAGAACGGTGTGAACCCAGGAGGCGGAGCTTGCAGTGAGCCGAGATCGCGCCACTGCACTCCAGCCTGGGCGACACAGTGAGACTCCGTCTCAAGAAAAAAAAACAAAAAACAAAAAAAACAAAAACAAAAAACAAAACAAAACAAAAAAAAGAAGTTCAATGAGAACCTAATGGCCAAGCCTCACCAGAATTCAGTGCAAGGTGTCAGAGACTTAGCATAGTATTAGACCAAAACCAAACCAGAAGTGGTCCCAATAAAATCCAATATTGCTAAATATCGTAAGGTCACCCTGAAGCAAATAGTACCTCCATAACCCCTGGAAAGGGAAATAACGCAACTGTATTAGAAACCAGATGTTACCGAGCACACTTGTGAAAGGCTGAAGACTCTTGCATCACTAGAGATGGCTCCAAAGAGGACAAAAGACACAGCAGGGACCCAGGACACAACTGCCCCCCAGGGTACTCTACAGTGATGACAATGCAGGCACAGGGAGGACTCACAAGAGCAGTTCATTGAATCCATGGAGAAGCGCAACTTTACCTAGACATGACAGCTGAAAAAATAAATGAATCTTAGAACTATTTCCACAGTAGAGGAAAGTCTACAAAAATGTGAAGCATAGCCTTGTTTTTGTTATCAGTCAACAAGCAAATGTTTGATGCAAGAGCTGAGCAAATATGAAACATAAGAAGCTAAATATTGAAAAGCCCAAAGACTCAGTTACCAGACTTCCCTTTCTTCTCTCCACTCCCTCCTTCAGAACTCCAATCCAGCCTCATGCTGATGACTCTGGAGTCTGTCTCTCCAACCCAGACCCCTTTCCCTGGCCCTTGACATCCCCAACTGCCTCCTTGACATCTTGGCTTGGATGTCTGATAGTTTCAAACTGATCTTCTACTCCACCCACAGTCTTCCCCGTCTCTGTTATTATAGTTGCTCAGGCCAAACCCTGGGTGCCTCCTGTGAAAGGCTGGATTGTTGTTTAGAGACACGAGGTGCCCTCCCCCAAGGATCCTACCTCCTCACCCTATTGAACTCAGACATGGCTGCATGTCTTGCTTTCAGCAATGAAGTAGACGCAGAAGTGAAGTATGTCATTCTAGGTGGAAGCTTCAAGAAACAGCGTGCCATGCTCCCTCCCCTGCTACAGTGACTGACAATGTTCAGGCAGAGGCTGCTGCATTGGCCTGGGCTGCAGGAGGAGGACAATGCAGGATGGAGCCCTGGCCCAGCCACGGTGGGCATGGTGTGTGGGAGGGAATTGCTGCTGCCATAAGCCACTGAGACTGTGACACTTATGCTTCAGGCAGCATCACTTGGCCTGTGCTGGCTGTCACATATCCCTTGACCATCCTCTCTCTCTCTCACATCCCACATCCAGTCCACCAGCAAGTTCTTAAATCCATCTTTAAAGCATATCCTGCATCGTCCCACTTTCCACCGTTGTGCTGTCTCCCACCTAAACTGTTTCAAAAGCTTCCCCGTCAGTCCTCCCTGCTGCTTGCTGCCTGGCCGCCCTACGGCCTGTTCCCAACTCAGCAGCCAGAGGGATCCTTGTAAAACACAAGCCAGATCACGCCTCTTCTCAGCTTCACAACCTCCAGTGGCTTTCCCCGCCTCTCTCAGAGTAAGCCAGAGTTCTCCCAATAACCTTCAAGGCCCAGGCAGTGACCTCTCATGACCCAGCTGCCCTCACCCCCATTACTTTCCTCCTTGTTCCCTCTGCTCCTCAACGCTCCTGGGACCCGCCAGGTACACTTGCACCACCAGGCTTTCTCACCTGCCCTTTGCTCTGTCTGTGAGTTTCTTCCCCCCGATATTGGCAAGGCTCCAGGTATCCTTGCTTCAGACCTACTCAGAAGTTACCTTCTTAGTGAAGACTTCCCCACCTCTACCCCAGGCCCTCAATTTTTCCTATGCTGCTGCCCCTTAGTACATATTGCCTGCTGACTACCTATTTTTACTTATGTATTGTATTTATTGTTTGCCTTCCTCATCACGAGGGAGGAATTTTTTCCCCAGTGCCATATCCCCAGCATCCGGAGCAGTGTCTGACACATGGCAGACACTCAATAATACACGCTGATGGAATAAATTTAATGCAGGGCATGGGCAGCAATGATCACAGGAATTTAGGGCACAGACAATGTAGGGTAGTAAGGAGAACTTCTCAGTGGAGGTAAAATCTGACCAGGGCAGAAGAAAGAATAGGGTGAGAGGGGAAAATCTGTCCATACAGGGAAAAAAAAAACTGAACACACATGCAGAAAACATCAAGGCATATTCAAAGGACAGTAGGAAATCTGATTGGAGGGTTTGTGCTGAGAAATAAGAGGCAACAAGAAAGGCAGGTGTGGGGAAGCTGTGAAAGGCATTAAATGTTAGTCTAAGGAATTTGGCCTTTATCCTTCAAGCAATGGAGACCCACGAAAGACAATTTGACAAAAGAAAGATTAAAATGGAAATTAGCCCGGCAAGATAGAAGATGAGGGGGAAAAAAAAAAAAGGAATAAGAGTCAACTCCTTCCATGAGAAAATACACTGGCGGGTGTAGGAGCTGTGGGTCTACAAATGAGCTACAGGGAAATGGAGCTTACATCCTGCAGGGGAAACCCCCCGCTATGAGGGAAAGCCACAGACGCCAATTCTACAAATGGAGAACTCAGTAACTGACTGGCTGTGAGAAGCCATGGAGGAAAGCCCAAGTGAAAGACAATGTCATTGATTCCAGATAGACTGATGACTGATTGGAACAGAAACTGGACAAATTCAAGAGGGGGTCTTAAATCCACAATCCAAATATCAGGTATTCCAGATAATCACTTTTACAAGAAAAGCATTTGCTAGTTTTAAGGCCATCAGAAGAACAAAATAAGGAAGCAAAAGAGGTCAAGATTAATACAGCGCTAATTCTGCCACCTAGCGTCAAGATTGTACTGTATAATTCTGCGAGAAATGCAGGCATTTCCCCACCTGTCCTTAGAGCGGGGACCCACAGATGTCACTGCCACCCCACAATGCCAGGGTTGTCTTTGGAGTGTGGTGCGTTCTCCAGCGCTGACAGCAACCAGGTCTCTGGGAAGAATGCAGACAACACAGACCATACACCTCAGGCTGGAAGCCAGCACACGCAGCTGTGTTTCTCTAGCTGAGGCTGCCTACCTGGCCACCCAGGGAAAGGGAACAGCCAATGAAGAAAGAACGATTCAGGATGGCCCCACCACCTGCCCAAGCAGAGCTTGTGGTGCTAAGGTGATGGGGGAAAGAAAAGATGTCTTTTTCTTCTCCAGAGAAATGCTTCTTACAATTCATGCTTTTAGATAGAAGCAGCATACTTTCAATGAGGAAAACGACATGAATTAAAAACAATATTGACTAGTTAGAACAGAACTATTTTTACGATGGTATACTACATTAACCAAATGGTTAACTACATTTCTGATTTTTTTTAAGGTACAGAGAAATTTCTCAAATATCAGATACATTATCACCGAGGGTAACAGTTGAAGTTGGAGCCTTCATATACAGATTACATATTTCTATATATTTTATATACACATACACACAAGTGTATATCTCTTCACGTCAGCGTTTTGATCACAATGCAAACTTGAGAAAAGGCCAGGAAAGTGACGCGGCCTGTTCTGCATCTTGGCGCATCAATGCTAGTATCCTGACTGTGATGCTGCACCATCGCATTCAAAGATGTTACCATAGGGAAATGGGAAAAGGTACAGTCACCCTGTATTATTTCTTACAGCTGGGTATGAATCTATAATTATTTCAAAATTAAAAGTTTACCTAAAACCGTATTTGTATCTCATTTTTGATATTCCTGAATCACAAAATAGTCATTTTTGCATTTTTCAAGTGGTAAGATCTATTCAAGGGGGAGAATAAGTCAGAGATGATATGAAGACTGAGAGAAGAAACAAGTAACTTTTTTTTTTTTGAGACAGAGTCTCACTCTGTCACCCAGGCTGGAGTGCAGTGGCACAATCGTGGCTCACTGCAGCCTCCACCTCCCAGGCTCAAGTGATCCTCCCACCTCAGCCTCCCAGAGAGTTGGGACTACAGGCATAAGAGCCACCACACCTGGCTAACTTTTGGATTTTTTGTAGAGATGGGATTTCGCTACGGTGCCTAGGCTGGTCTTGAACATCCAGGTTCAAGGGATCTGCCCACTTCAGCCTCCCACAGTGCCGAGATTACAGGCATGAGCCACCATGCCTGGCCAAAAATGACTTCTTGGTTACTCCTGGTGGTATTTGTTCATGCAAGAAGCATGTGGAGGGCCTGCTATATAACAGCCAGCACTGTCAAGGAACCGGCTGGAGCGCTAAGCAGGCAGGAGTCTTATTTGTCTCTCGCCGAGTTTAATACTGGGTGGGGAGGCAGGAAAGGAACAAGTAAAAGAAGTAAACAAGGAACAAGGTAAACAAACTCAGCAAACAAGTAAACAAGTAAAACAAACCCAACAGAGCTAAATGCTATGTGGCATACAAAACAAGGTTCTGAGCTACAGGAGGCCTGCGTGGAAGGATGTCTACTTCAGATGGCCTTCTGGGGGCGTGGGGTTGTTTCATCTGAGACTGGCACGGTGTGAAGGAACCAGCTGTATAAAAACAGAAGGAAATGTATTCAAGGCAACAGCAACAAGCAAGACCCTGCAATGGGAACCGGCTTGGCCTGTCAAGGCTGAGAGGCAGCCAGCGTGGTATAAGAGAACTGACAAGGGGACAATGGTATGACATGAGATCAGAGAAGTTGGCCAGGGCAGACCATGCAGGGCCATCCTACATCAGGGAACACAACAGCCTGATGGGAAGCTCACCTAATTTCATCAAGCTATCGTTTGAGTGTGTCTCTGCATTCTGGATTTTAAATACATATCATTAAAATATTTCAGAAGTCATAGAAGCTCTCAAAGGTACAGAGGTTTAATTTCAAAGTTACTGCTAATGCCTATTTTCCAAAAATTGTAATTCATAAAAGAGCATGAATACAAATGATGCTGACTCATTCTTTAATTTGAAATAAGCAGTGGCTTTTTAAAGACAACAGAAATCATTCCAGCTAATCAGGAAGTCAAGGCAAAGTGGCAAGCAATTCAACACTGCACCTACGTATAAATGATACCGTAAGAGTGCATTCTGGGGTCTTCTTCTTCAATCGAGAACCTGAACCACTGCTCCTGAGGTCCTTGGCGTGTGGCTTTCTTTTCCAGATCCCAGTATAATTCAATGCTGTGATGAGTCACTTTGCCCACGACAGGTGGATGAGGCTTTGAGGGTGGCGTGATTTCTAAAAAAAGAATGATACCGAATTTCAGGACCCAGTTTCCATAAGGAAGAGACCCCAGTCGAGTGGATTACAGCTGCTTGGTGATCGAGCTATTTTTCTGAGCGTAAGGCACACATATGAGCATACCTCCCTGTTGCTTAAAGAATCCCTGAAAAGCTAGAGATACAAAATTCAGCTGATGTGTGAGCTACCAGTCTTCAACAAGCATGTATTGTACCATGCCCATCAATATCATGCCACCCACTGACCCTTCCAAAGGGATGCTTAACTTATCAAACTAATGAGGTTGGACTTGACCTGCTGGAACACAGTTTGCTTCTATTAATCCTTCACTGACTGGCTAACAAAGCCAAGAGACGAATGCTCTATCTGATTCAAATATCTGGAACATAGATGACAAATGGTTGACATCTATGCTGTATAAACAGTCCTCAGAAACTAACCAAGAATAAGGGCCCAAAGTTAGTAACAAACCTAGCAAAAGATGAGCAGCACACAAAAGAGCAAAAACAAATTGCCAAGGTAATATCTGGAAAGATACTCATATCCCCCAGTGCTCACAGAAATTGGTAACAATGGGGTATAACTTGATATCCAGTCAGAAACTGAAACATTTCGTAACTTTCAGAAGTCACAAGATAGGGAGAGGATATTCTTATGTGCTGGTTGTAGGGAAATATGAATTGTGGCCTTTTTAGAGGGCAATACGGAAGCATCTATTAAAATTAAAAATACACATATCCCTCTGTCCCACCATCCCACCCTTCTGCAGAAATCAGAGCATAAATACACACGAGAGTGAGTGGCCAAGATGGCTGACTAGAAGCAGCTGGTGTACCTGGCTCTCATGGAGAGGAACAGAAGGAGCAAGTGAATACAACACCTTCAACTGAAACAGCCAGGTACTCGCACTGGGACTAATCAAGGAAACAACTTGACCCACAGAGAACAAAGCAAAGCAAGACAGGATGATGGCCCACCAGGGGGCAACACGGAGCCAGGGGATCCTCCCCTGCCCAGGGAAGCAGTGACTGAATGGGCGACCCAGAAACCACACTTCTCCCATGGATCTCTGCAAACCTCAGGTTAGGAGATCTCCATGCAAACCTCTCTCTACCAGGGCCTTCCGTCTTCAGTTTGACAGAGCTGCAGGGAGTCTTGGCAGAGCAGCCGCTCAGGCATGCATGGAGACCCCGGAGCCTTAGCTACTCAGGCTTTGGAGCAAAAGTAGCCGTAGCTCTGGCAAAGTGAGAGGTGAGACTCCCGTACATACCCTTAGGAAAGACGATGAATCCAGGGGGCTGCGCAGCAACAGCCCGCAGGCCCCACTTCCAGTGCACCTCACGAGATGAGACCCCACTGGCTTGGAATTTCAGCCAGCTTCCAGTAGTGGCATAGCACCTCCCTCAGAAGGAGCTCCCAGGGAGAGGGACAGGCCACCAGCTTTGCTGTTTGGGCACCTTAGCCATTCCAGCCTTCAGGCTTTGGAGAGTCTGAGCCAACACAGGGCAGAAGGGATCCCCCAGTACAGCATAGCTGCTCTACTGAAACGTGGCCAGATGGCTGCTTTAAGCAGGTACCTATCTCGTTCCCTCAATGGGCAGAACCTTCCAACTGGGGCCTCCAGCCACCCCTGCCCAAGCTGTCCATCTGACAGATGGACGCGGAATTTCCCCTGGGATGGCACTCCCAGAGGGAGAGGTGGGCCACCATCTTTGCTGTTCAGGTGCCTTAGTCGTTCCAGCCTTTGGGCCTCCTAGTACCCGAGTCGATCGGGGGCTGAAGCGGACCCCTAGCACGGCACAACTGCTCTACCGAAACGTGGCCAGACTGCTTTAAGTGGGTCCCAATCCTGTTCCTCCTCACCAGCTGGGACTTCCCAACCAGGGTCTCCCGCCACTTCCTACAGGTACACCTTTGGCCCGACACCAGGTCCATACCTCCCTGGGACGAAGTTCCCAGAGGGAGGGACAGGCTGCCATCTTTGCTGTTTCTCAGCCTTCGCTGGTGGCACCTCCAGGTTCTGGAAAATCTGAGGTGACTAGGGACAGGAGCAGGCCCCAAGCATACCACAGCAGCCCTATGGAAAAGTGGCCGGACTGTTCCATGGGTGCCTGTTCCCAGATCTCCTCACTGGACAGGTCCTCCAGGCCTGGGCCTCCAGCCACCACTGCCAGAGCTACGGAGCCAGTACCAACTCAGCAACTCCCTGAACAGAGCCTCCAGGGGCAACTGAAAGCCTCTCCCACTACCTCAGCAGTGGAACTGCCCTTGCCACCCTCAAACTAACAAAGGAGCAAAGACTCTAAGAGTGTCTTATCTACACCTCCAATAAGCTACAGTCGACCCCAGGAGAGGCAGCCAGTCCGTCTCCCACAGGTTCCGCACCCCCGCTCCCTCGCATGGCTCATCAGCAGACAGGGAACCCCTGGCTTGGGCACACAGCACAAACCCTCCATCTTGGGCTGACTGCACTGAGTGATTGCTGACCCACATCTCTGAGGTGGAGCCCCCAGGAGTCAAGTAAATGACCCCTGGCCACAACCCCTGCTAAGATCTCTTCCTGTGCTGCCTGTAAGCTGGGGAAGGAACATAAACACTGAGATCACCCCAGAACTGCAGTGGGCATTCCAGGAGTGCCAAGGAGAGCCAGCACTCAAGTGGGAGAGGAACGCACAGTTTCAGAGCACTGAAAGGGAACACGGCGGAAACTGTGAGGAAACAGGAGAGTCACACAACCAAGCAAGAGTCTAGCAACTGACCAGTACACCTAAGTGCCACCTACTGGATCACACCCCAAAGCTTCAACACCAAAAATGCCTCATTAACATACCCCTCTCTGAAACCAGAGACAACAAGTAAGCTTCAAATAAAGACCCTACACAAAGCATCAGCCCAGTGAAAACATCCAGAAAAGAAGTCTGCTGACTGTACTCAATCTACATTAAAGGAACGCCCACACACAGAGATGAGAAAGAACCAGCAAGAACTCTGGTAACATTCAGATGACCAGAGTGTCATATGTCCTCCAAATGACCACACCAGTTCTCCAACAAGAGTTCTTACCCAGGCAGAACTGGCTGGAATAAAGGAAATAGAATTCAGAACATGGATAGGAACAAAGATCACTGAGATTCAGGAGGATGGTGAAACCCAATCTAAGGAAAAGAAGAATCACAAGAAAATGATACAGGAGCTGAAGGATAGAATAGTCAGCATAAAAAAGAAACTAATGGGTCTGACAGAGTCGAATAATATAAAAATTTTACGATCGGTTGCGGTAGCTCACTCCTGTAATCCCAGCACTTTGGGAGGCTGAGGCAGGTGGATTGCCTGAGGTCAGGAGCTCGAGGCCAGCCTGGTCAACATGGTGAAACCCCATCTCTACTAAAAATACAAAAATTAGCCAGGTATGGTGGCAGGCACCTGTAGTCCCAGCTACTCGGGAGGCTGAGGCAGGAGAATTGCTTGAACCCAGGAGGCAGAGGTTGCAGTGAGCCAAGATTATGCCACTGCACTCCAGCCTGGGTGACAGAGTGAGAGACTGTCTCAAAAACAAAAACAAAAAAGAATTTTACAATGCAATCACAAGTATTAACAGCAGAATAAACCTAACTGAGGAAAGAATCTCAGAACTTGAAGACTGGTTCTCTGAAATAGGTCAGGCAAAAATGAAAAAAGATTTTAAAAAAAGGAATGAATAAAACCTCTGAGAAGAATGGGATTATGTAAAGAAGCCAAATCTACAAATCACTGGCATCCCTGAAAGGGAGAAGAAGAAAGCAAACAACTTGGAAAATTCCAAGATATCATCCATGAAAACTTCCCTAACCTTGTTAGGGGGGCCAACAGTCAAATTCAGGAAATACGGAGAACTCCTGCAAGATTCTACACAAGAAGATCATCTCTAAGACAGATAATTGTCAGGTTTTCCAAGGTTGAAATGAAAGAATGTGAAAGGCAGCTAGAGAGAAAGGGCAGGTTACCTACAAAGGGATCCTCATTAGGCTAATAGTGGACCTCTCAGCTGAAACCCTATAAGCCAGAAGAGATTAGAGGCCTATTTTCAACATTATTTTTTTAAAAAAATCTTCAACGAATAATTTCATATCCTGTTAAACTAAGCTTCCTAAGTAAAGAAGAAACAAGATCCTTCTCAGATAAGCAAATGCTGAGGAACTTCATCACTAGACCTGCCTTATAAGAGATCTTGGAAGGAACAGTAAATATAGAAAGACTGCCACCAGCTAATACAAAAATCCACTTAAACACACAGACCAGTGTCACTGTAAAGCAACCACACAAACAAGCCAACATAATAACCAGCTAGTGACAGGATCAATGACAGCAGCAGCTAATGACAGGATCAATGACAGGATCAAACAGCACAATGGCAGGATCAAATCCACACATATCAATACTAACCTTGAATGTCAACAGGCTAAATGCCCCACTTAAAAGGCATGGAATGGGAGAAAATGTGTGCAAACTATGTATCCGACAAAGGTCAAATATCCAGCATCTATAAAGAACTTAAACACATTTACAAGAGAAAAATAACCCCATTAAAAATTGAGCAAAGGACATAAACAGACACTTCTCCAAAGACGACATACATGTGGCCAACAAGCACATAAAAAAAAAGATCAATATCACTGATCATTTGAGAAATGTGAATCAAAACCACAAAGAGATGCCATCTCACACCAGTCAGAATGGCTATCATTAAAAAGTCAAAAAATAACAGATGCTGGCCAGGTCACAAAGGGAACCCTTATACACTGTTGGTGGGATAAATTTGTTCAACCATTGTGGAAAGCAGTATGGCAATGCCACAAAGAGCTAAAAGCAGAACTACCATTTGACCCAGCAATCCCATTACTGGGTATACACCCAGAGGAATATAAAGCATTCTACCATAAACACACATGCACATGAATGTTCACTGCAGGACTATTCACAATAGCAAAGACATGGAATCAACCTAAATGCCCACTGATGACAGACTGGATTAAAAAATGCGGTACATATACACCATGAAATATTATGCAGCCATAAAAAAGAATGAGATCATGTCTTGTGCATGAACATGGATGGTTCTGGAGGCTATCATCTTTAGCAAACTAATGCAGGAACAGAAAATCAAATACCGCATGTTCTCTAAGAGGAGGCTAAATGAGAAGAACTTATGAACACAAAGAAGGAAACAACAGACACTGGGGTCTCCTTGAAGGGGGAGGGTGAGAGGAGCAGAAAAGGAAACTATTGGGTATTGAGCTTAATACCTGGGTGATGTAATACTATGTACAACAAACTCCTGTGATGCATGTTTATCTGTGCGACAAACCTTCACACATACCCCCAAAACTAAAATAAAAATTAAAAAAATTAAAATGGATACAGAGACACATACATAAGGACATTACTACAGTTTTCAGTAGTTCACAGCAAAACAAAAAAAAAAGATGACCCATTTATAAGGGAATGGACAAATAAGTTATTCTATGTCCATAAAGTGGAACATTATACACCCTGTGAAAAATGAATTTGTTCTATACTATGTGCTTTGAAAGGACCTCCACTAAGTATCGTTGGGTAAGAAATCAAGGTGCAAAGAAAAACACAGAATATCCCATTTTTGTCAAAAGTAACAAGGGGTAGAGTGTATACCAAGCTGGTTAGCATGCAATTTTTCTATGTTAGTTTTGTCTCCCCTGCTACACTTTACTCAATGCTTCTTGAGTCTCAAATATATCACAGATCTACTGCATTGTTCATTTAAAAAGAAAGGATGTTGTATTTCCCTTGAGCCAATGTCCCAAGTAGCTTACCGGCCACCCTCTGAAGACCCAGGGGTCCTCCTGCAGTGCAGTCCCACTGAGAAAGACCGGGCTGCCCTGGTCTTGCCCATCCCAGGTCAGTGGGGCACACAGCCAACAATTTCACTTACACGAAGATCCCAGAGATATGCTAGGAGGCAACCTGCAAGCTCATTTTCCCAACTTTATTTTCCAAATGTTTATAGAGAGCTTGATGAAATCGGATAAACCCAGGTTTGAATATGTTCTCTGAAACTGAGTTAAAAATACCACAAAGTGTTTCGTGATAATTAAGTTTAAAAGTATCTAAATAAACGATGGCGTATTTCCTACAGTAAAATCCTAACAACTAAAAGAAACTAGCTGTATGAGTTTTTTTATACGCCTGCATCAACATAGATCAATTCAAAATGAATGGGTGGAAAACATGGGTTGCAAAAGGACACACTACATGATTATAACACACACAAAACACTACATGTTGTTTATGAATGCACAGATATGTAGTAAAATTAAAAAGCTGATGGGAAGAACACACGCCACCTCAACAACATAAGGGAAGGGATGGGGGCATGATGGGCAGGAAGAGGGTCTTGCCAGTATATTTGTAAGGTTTTATTTCTTCATGAAAAGACTTTAGGACACATATGGCAAAATGTTAACATCTTAAACCAAATGGTACATTGAGTACATTACCATTTGAAATAATTTTGATATGTTTAAAATAGTTTTTGAAAACTATAAAAATCAACTATATATATTACCATTTTGGGCCTCTTGGTTTTCTCAGAGAAACCAATTTCAGGGTTCTAGATACTGAGGGATACATGTGGAAGAAGAAACAACTGAGCCAGACACTGACCTCTTACTGTGAGTCATCTCACTGAATCCTAGCAATTCTGGCTGATGGATGTCACCATGACTCACATCTTCACGTCCTTGCATCATGACATCGGTGTTGAACAACTCATGTTTTTCCCAGCCCACTAAAACCAAACACCAGGAATGGTAGACTGTTATGGATTACCCCCAAAATAACCAGAAGCCAACAAGCATTTCAATTCCAAAGACATCCAGCCTAGAATCCTACTAGAGATCAGAAAAGGCAAGCATATCTAAATTAATGTCAAATTTCAACGCAGTTCACCATGAAGTTGTATGAGGAGTAAAAAGATAACATTCCCAGAGACCCAAGAGTTTCTTATGGCTTGCTCTTTACCGATCACTGATCTAGGTATATAATGAGAGATCTCCATTAGTGAGCATGCCACCAGCCACAGGTGGCCCACTGCCACCAGAGCTGGCCACGGGCCCACTTCCAGCTGCTACTAATGATGGAGCCAAAACCCTCACTGCTAGCCATCACCCCCCTCCAGATCTGGTACAGAGCCCAGAAAAGGTGGGTGTGGTGCTTGGAAAGTTGGTTCATGTTTGTGTGTGTGTTGGGGGCAGGTAGTGATCCAAATGTAATGGCAGCATGGTCTCTCCAAGGAAGCCTTAGGTGTGAGTGACGCCTCAGTGAACACATACACGTCAGCAATGGACCAGCTGCTGCCAAGTCACACAACTATGCAACACGTTGCTCACACAGAAACGCCAATGGTTAGTGTAGAGCCCATTGATAATGTTCCTGCATCTTCTTTACTTTCATACAAAACTCATCAAGATGCAACTCTCCACCTTAGGCAAGAGTTGCTTTTGGCAAAAAGTTATTATTGCCAGATAGGACCTGGATGGTCAGGTCATGGATGAATGACCTCATCAGGTAAGAGCTAGTTATTTTTAGGATGCCAAAAAATAGTGGATGGGACCCAATTTGTTTTGCTTTGTTTCTTAGCCAACCTACAGTAATTTGACAGGTGTATTCTAATCCTTACAATATTATACCCATATACTTTCTATTTTCTCTTTGATAAAAATTCTGGTGTTTTTGTCATCATCTGCTAATATACGTGTTTTAGGATCCTAAAATATGTACATTTACAGGTCACCAGCAGAGTGCAAACATTACTATGACAATGGAGCAGAGGCCCAGGGCGGCACTGAGCCTTGGTAAGAGCCGACGGAAGTGGCAGGTCACAAGCCCAGTTGCTGAGAGGAGAACTGCAATGCAGCAACACTTATATGCCACTTAATTTGGGTCATGTACTAGTGTGGATGCTTTATTTATTCATTTAACTTTCACCACATTTAACTTCACCAACTCTATATGCTGTAAGGATTTTTATTATCTCCCTTATAAACAATCTGAGGCACAGAGAGGTTACATAACTTGCCCAAGGTCACACAGAAACAACTGGTAGAACCAGGATCAAAATGAAGATAATCTGGCTCAGGAGTCCCTTACTTTTAGCCCTGTAGCATACTGCCTCTTAAGAGTAGTGATATAAAATGTAGACCAGGGGTGAAAAATCAACTATTAGTTCGTTCTCCAGATTTCCTTCTTCATTTTAAATCAGGTCTAGCTCATGAACTGGCTTGAACTCCACGGAAATTTCTAAATGATCAAGAAAACTCGGTAAGAAAAAGTGAGACAATGCAAATCAGGTGATTGTTTGAATAAAGTATAGAGCTGCTGTGTGCAAGCGGAAGAGGATACGGCAGCTTATCCTAGCACCGAGGTCAGGGAGGCTGCTGACCTTCAGGAGCCCACTCCATGAAAGGGAAGATGGTGTAAAAAGCCCACGGCAACCAGTCGTGGAAACCAGGAAGGCAGAGAGTTTGGCTGACGTTTACTTGCAGACACTATGGGCATAGGTAGAGAAGCCAGTCCAACGCTGCATTAGGCTCAGCACGAAATCTGGGAGAACAGTTGCATCAACAGGAGGGAAAGGCTATAGAATGTGGGCAAAACAATTAGCAAGATAGCTCATAGATAAATCTGAAAAGATTGTATATACTTAGGGCAGAAAGCACACATCACGGTGGAAAACTACTCTGAATTTACTACTAATACAAGAACAAGTCTCTCTATTTGTAAATGTTATCATCCCCAAGTTTTATAATATAGCTAAAGTTGCAAGGAGTGGTAAATATATCTATGATTATAGTCCTGACTCACTTGACACTAGGACTTAACGTGCTGGATGTATAACAAGTAACACATCTATCCTAAGGTGATGAAAATTAACATTTTGAGAAATTCAAAAGCTGATCCTTTTTGCTATTTATTTAACCATGATGTTTAGATCCCTCTCTGTATTTACATGTTATCAGTGGACACACTCTTGAGAACTGTTTTTATAGACTCTATTCAAGTTTTATAGAACAGATATAACACATCCACAGAAACACACTCAGATATAACACATCCACAGAAACACACTCAGATATAACACAATCCACGAGAACGACCTCAGATATAACACATCCACAGGAAACACCAACTCAGATATCAACATCACAGAAACACATCAGATATAACACAATCCACAGAAGAACACATCAGATTAACCACAGTCCACAGAGAAACACATTCCGAAACACATACTTACATGCTACACTTTTTATACAAAAGTTTTAGAACTCTATTTTCTCCTGTCATAAGTAAGTCTCAGATCTTTCAAAAGGTACTTTTTTAAGTCTGATAACCAGCATCCAAATTTAACCAACCGCATAATTTCATCACAAAGTCAGGCTTTAATTTTATTTTAACTTTTCTAAAGATTTCTAAAGATTTTGTTTTCTAAAAAATTTTCTAAAGATTTTGTTTTCTAAAAAACGAAAAGAAAAAGGAGACCTTATGTTCAATTTTGGATGGTTCTTTTAAATAATTAGTAGGATCTTTCCATCATGACAAATATTTCTTATCTTAAAAGTTTCCCAAGTAATGAAAAAGGAAGAAGAAGAACAGTAAAACTATAAGTACCTCAAAAGGACGATTATGAGAATTTATGAATGTGTTACGTACCACAAAAGGCTTTTGTAAGAAAGTTCTTATGCAAATCTGACAAATAAAACAATTTTATGCCTCTGGTGCCATTTGTTAAGCAATAAATAGGAATATAGAACAATAAATGGTTTCATACACTGTCGCCACTCAGTCCCTATGGTTACTCAGAAGATGGCATAAAACATGGCTCAAGTACATCAGAAATCATAATAAAAAGCTATCACTCACAAATTATAGGTTTGAATGTAGAAAACTATAAAGTTTATGTAAACCACTCTACAGTATTAGGCCTTAGCATCCTGCATTTTTTTTTAAAGGATTGTAATAGTAAAAGAAATGCACCAGAAATGTGCCAAGAGGAGCCTCAAAAAACAAATTAGTAAAACAAAAAAAATCAGATTATTCAGCATCCATCCTTATGATAAATAGTTGGCCATATCTCAAAAGCTACAGAGAGAAGCGGTGATCATACACTGTATTGGAATGAGCAATTGTGATCAGTATCATGAAAAGTGGGAAATCATAAAGAAAAAAAGCAAATATAGATAGATTCGTTGTATAAAAAGAGAACACCTTAAAGCAGAATTGTAGTTTCCCTGCTCTTCCAAACTTATGTGAAAATTTACTGAAGTCAAATTTCACTAGCAAGGGGCATCTGTGGTCTAGCCTCCGGTGGCACATGGTCCGCAATGAAGATGACTGCACACTGAAGGGGATGCTATATGAGAACAGTAGTGGCTGTAACCTCAAAGCAGTTTATCATGGTTTGATCAGATATTTACAGCAACCATTAATCACAAATACATTCTAGGTCGGGTGCAGTGGCCGACCAATACCTGTAATCCCAACACTTTTGGAGGCCAAGGTGGGAGGATCACTTGAGGCCAGGAGTTAGAGACCAGCCTAGGCAACATAGAGAGACCCCATAATCACGCCACTGCACTCCAGCCTGAGTGAAAGAGCAAGATCCTGTCTCAGAAAGAAAAAAAAAGAGAAATTAAAATAACTATAAGGTACCATTTTACCTGTAAAATTAGACGAAAAACATGTAATGGTAATAATATTCAGTGTTGTTTAAGACTGTGATAAAATGGTTTGAGATTGAGGACTACACTGTATATTACACAATTCTTTAAAAAAACAATTTGACTGTATTCAAAAATGATTATAAGATCTCCTACTTGGTGGTCTCGCTTCTAGAAACACATCCAAAAAATAAATTCAGAAATCAAAAAATAAATGTAAAAGCTAAAATGTTTTTGTATTGTATGTGCTTTTATTTTTATTATGAAAAAAAGTTTCTGTCTGTGCATGGTGGCACATGCCTGTAGTCCCAGCTACTTGGGAAGCTGAAGCAGGAGGATCAGTTGAGCCTAGGAGGTCGAGGCTGCAGTGAGCCGTGATTGTACCGCTGCATCCCAGGCTGGGCTATAGAATGAGACCCTGTCTCAAAAAAATAAAATAAAAAATAAAAATCTCACCATGAAAAGTAGAATGAATAGAATAGCAAATCCGCTTGTATCTGTTACCCAGCTTCAATTAGCAACACAATTATGGCCAATCCTATTTTACCGAGGAGTCCATCCACCATCCCTGCCCAAACCTGGGTTATTTAATAGCTAAGTTTTGATAAGACTTTACTTTGTATGAGTGTTCTAAAACTCTTTACATATATTATTTAATCTTCACAACAACCTTATAAAGTGCTAGAACTTTCCTCTTTTACCTGTAAGGCTGGAGACACGCAGAGGTCCCATCATTTACTAGTGAGGTCATGCAATAAGCAGCAGAGTCAGGATGTGAACCCAGGGAACCCGACTCCAGTGGCATGTCCTTAACTTTCTATGTGCTATCTACTACTGCCCTATGTTTAACTACATACACACATACATAAATCACAACATAAAATAAAAACCAGAAACACTTCAATACCATTCACAGCAATAAAAACTAATCTAAATGTCCAAGAACATGGAATTTGTTAGATACACTTTGGTACATTATTTAGATAAAAGAATATTTACTGATTAAAAGCATGGAAGATGATCTACTAAGGAAAAGACATGAACTTACATATGTTATTACAATGGCGTAAAATGTACAGATGCACACAGACAGAAGAACTGAAAGAATTTAGAAAAACGAAAGACAAAAATAGCATTATGGCTGATTTTTTGGTATTATTTTAAGCTGGTATAGTACTGAATAAAGGGGAAAAAACAAAATGTAACTGAGCATTTTTATTCTTAATGGAAAAAAGATTCAGCTAAGACGAACTACTAGCCTAGACTCTTCCTTGCTGAACTTATACATATATGATAGCAACAAGTCTGATAAAAATAAACCAAGAATAAGTCAATGTGGATGCTTCAAAGCATGAGACATTTCAATTACACTCTGGCTCAATTTATTGACCATTTTGGTGTCAAGCAGATATCCTGCTTGACATTTATTTCCAAGGAAAAAGTTTACTTACACCCATTCATTCAGCACACTTGTGGGACACCTCCCCTGTGTCCTGAGGGCACAGGTGTAACCAAGATGACCAAGAGGGAAGGGCAAAGTGAGGAGCAGGGAACATTCAACACCAAACAAATACAAACCAGATGCATGGGGGAGGCAGGTGCGGAGGGAGCCTACAGGAAGACGTGTTCAAAATGCATACAGTTTACATACATTCTAATCCGGGAATGAGGTGCCTTAAGTGAGGTCTCAGGATAAAGAGGCAAGTCTGGCAGAGCCTGCAGGCAAAGAATACATCATCTCATGAAGACATTTCAATATACTTAAATTGTCTTATGTTTTTATCCCCAAACATTCCTTATCCTTTAAAAGTAAGTAATGTAAGTGCAAACTGCCCAAAAGTTGCTTTCCTCTACTTTGCTAATAAGTTCTTCTAGGGCAAAAATCAGTTCAAACAGCAAAAACAACAAAAGCCAAAACTCCCTAGGGTAGTAATCGGGAAACACTGCTTCCTCTCCTGGCTCTACCATGGATATTCCTCATCAGGAAAACTGGGGGATAAATAAGGATACCTGTCCTGCCTCCCTCTCAGATTTACTGCAAAGAAAAAAAATAATGTGACAAAATATTGCAGTGATTTGAAATGTATAAAGGACTTCACAGACATAAGGTAGTGGTAATGCCTTTGAAAGTCACGATGCTCACACCTATTTCACACATCTAACTACATGGAAACCCTGCTTGGAGTTCTATACAGGTAACAGGTAGTAGGCAAAGAAGGAAACGTACTTCCAAGATATTTCTTTCACTTAATTACAACTCAGCAGGCAGCAGGAAGGAGAAGTGCCGAGTGAAGTGGGGAAAAGCCCCTTATAAAACCATCAGATCACATGAGAACTCACTCACTATCACAAGAACAGCATGGGGGAACTGTCCCCACAATTCAATTACCTCCTACTGGGTCCTTCCCAGGACACATGGGGATTATGGGATT